CTAGTACTAGCTACTATGAATCATTGTCCTTATTTACTAGTGGATCAATATCAAATTTACTTCTAGTCCTGCATAGTACTATGAAACAACAGTTGCTCAACATCTATTGAAAGAGGATGCAGTCCTCAAAAAAGGTGGTAAGCCTACGTATTGAATAAAATATTCAACGTGCGATTTTATGCCCAAACGACAAACTCAGAGTATACCGATTTCCCCTCCCCCAAGGAGAGCTAGGATCCCCTTAAATGATGGGATTTCGAAGGAACATTGTTGAGCTAGAATTTGATAACCCCGTGCTGCAAGGGTGCAAAAATCCGAAATGGGTTTCACACCAATCCGAGGGGTATCCCTGATGAGTAGCGTACATTTTCCTAAGAAATTTGGTTAGTCGTACATGTGAATCAATCCTCCAGAATTATCTGTGATGCCTTTCCGTCGTTCACAAGGACAGAACACGTATATGCATGTCCTTTTCACGTTCAGATGCACGCCATTGTAGTTGTTCTCGGCGATGTAGGAAGGTATGGCTCAAATATTGTTATGGAAAGAGAGTATTAGATTGCCGTGCTCTTTTGCTGACGCTTGTTCCAAAGATCACCTCGAATGCAGTATCACGCAGCATCATTGCTGGAAAATGGACATTCCGTATCTCTCATTGGATACGAGGGAGAAAAGTTGATTTCAGCACTAATTGGCAAGAACGAGAGACTGCAGGTTTTTCGCTTCAGTGTACCGGCACCAAAGTCACTGAGAAAAATCCTCCCATTGTATCTGTTTGTGAGGGCCAGCCTCTTGTTCTTCTTTGTTTTTCGTGCACTCTTCCAAGCTGCACGCAATCGGACTGTCGACGTTGTACTCGTCCAGAATCCACCTGCGATGCCGCTGTTATTCGTCACTCATTTGTACTGTCTCATACGTGGTATTGTCTCTGGGCACAGACCAGCGTTTGTGATTGACTGGCACAATCTGGGCTATTCAATGCTTGACAACAAGCTATTCTCAGCGATTGCCCGAGTATATGAGAAGTTCATGGCGCCGTATGCAACTGCTCATCTGTGTGTCACGGCAGCTATGAAACTGTTTCTTCAGACGCACTTCGATGTGCCCCACGAAAAGATCAGCGTCTTACACGATTGCCCGCCAAACATGTTTCAACCACTTTCCATAGAAGATCAGCATGAGCTGTTGTCGAGACTACACAAAGTGCTATGCAGCGCTTGCCCAAAACACTGGCACGAGAATCTAAATCCTACTGAACAAACTCTTCTTACGGAAATCAGTGACACGGGGGGGTATGAATTTCGTAAAAATAGACCGTGTTTCCTAGTGAGTGCAACATCGTGGACCCCAGACGAGGATTTTGGAGAACTTTTGGATGCCCTTGTTCGTCTGGACAGACGGATCCGCCTCCAAAAGTCCTCTCTTAAGGTGCTGATGGTTGTCACGGGGAAAGGACCCCAGAAGGAGCATTATTTAGAACGGATATCACAGCTCAAACTTGAAAGTATCGCTATCCAAACTCTGTGGCTAGAACCTGCAGATTATCCTCGGTTGCTTGCTTGCGCTGATCTTGGGGTTTCGCTGCACACCTCAACTTCCGGTTTGGACCTTCCCATGAAGGTTTTGGATCTATTCGGCTGTGCAGTTCCTGTGTGTGCAAGAAATTTCAGTTGCTTGTCAGAGTTGGTCAAAGATGGAACAAACGGCAAAGTGTTCGACTCCTCATCCGAATTGGAAGAGCAATTGTGGGGCCTTTTGGAGAAACTGGATGGAAGTCAGCGACGTTCTCCTCATTCCTATGGCGATTTGGCGGAATATAGTCAAGCGCTACAAAATCAAACTAGATGGAACGAGAATTGGGGGAAGCATGCGTTGCCAGTTCTGCGTGGTAATTCAAGAGATTTTCAAGGAGACGTTAAATGATTTGTCAATAGAGTGAATCAATGCAATGCCTACTTCCAGTGAAGGTTGTTTAGATTTCATCAGGAACGTCGCTGAGCAAATCAAGGAATTCGTCCAATAGGGAGATAAGTTTTCTCGCGTACGAAAGGAATTCCGTTGCGTTTTGGGTTCCCGTTGGGGCGTCGGCGGCCTTCGAAAACTTCTTCAAGCTGTCAATCAGCTCGGATGCTCGCCGTTTCTTTACCGAATCGAGGCCGCTTGCAATAGCTTTCATATCTTCCGAAACTCCATAAACTCGTCTCAAGAATGCCCCAACACTGTTCCATTCCGCTTTGTCCATGTCACTCGCACCTTGCTCGACACGCTTCTGGATCCCCTGCTCAGTCGAGTCCACCGTCCAGGTTTTCCGAAATTAGTCGCTGTAGCTATAACAAATTTGACAAGGCTTGGCACCATGCCGCATGGAGCCGGCAACAGCAACAACAACGTTGTAACTTACCAACAAGTCTGTTTTTGCTCGAACAACACGCGAAAATCGTGCTGCACCTTCTGGCAATGCATTCCCATCGGAAACATCTGCCCAAACTGGTGTTGGAGCGCTACCCACAGCCATTCCCAACGCTGATGTGGAGAAAAATAGCAACCCCTTCTCCAAAATTTCACGCCTATCAAAGTTTGTCGCAACATCCTCTTGAGTTGGAAGCGTCCCATCCGAAGCAGTCGGATGACGACCACCAGCAACTACTGGTTTGTTGGCGGAAAAGGCTGCAACCTCACCTCCTCTCGCTAGCATCAGAATCAGGACTGTATATAGATTTTTCGTAAACATAATTTGAACTTTCGAGTATTGCAAAACTGTCACTCTTTTTGATGGAGGGAAAGAGACAATTTTGAAGTACCGGTATCTACACGTACGAAAGTTGGTTATACGGGACTGATTTTCGGGGGATCCATTTTTCCCCCAGCCAACCTGTACTGTACGTCTGTACCTGGTACCGTACACAGTCCAGGTACTGTACACTGTACTATTACAGTGTACCTACCGTACCACGTACTTTACTGTACTTTGAAGTTCGACCATGCACAATGTGCCCCCCGCGACCCAATTTTTCCACTCACACCATGAGGAATGCTTGGTCCAGGGTATTTTTTCATTATCTTGATCATCGCATGCCAAGAATGCCATTCGTTTTCGTCGACGAATCTAGTAGCCTTGAGGAGAGCCGCATTTTCACATGGCTCAGACTCTAGAAGAGCCAAAGTGGATCGTCCAGGCCAGAATGACAGCGGTTATGTTGACATCGTCGATGGCTATCAAAAAGTCAACAGTTCTGTCCATGGTGTCACACTGAAAATTGCGATTGATAAGCAAGGAGGTGTTGCAGACTTGTCCAGCGAAAAGTTGGGTCGATTTACTTGTGGCGCCAGCTTAGACATGGTCCATCGATTGAGAAGGTGCAGTGATGGTGTACTTGTTGGAAAGGCCACGGTGGTAGAAGATGACTGCAGTTTGACAGTTCGACGGGTTCCCTTGGATATAGTGGACCACAATGAAGAACTGCTCGAACAGGATCGCAACGACAAGCGGAATCCACAAAAGCGCCGCCAGCAGCCAGTTCGAGTGGTAATTGACTCTCGTAAGACATTGGATTTGTCCAAATATACCATTGCTCAGGATGGGTTGCGAACAATTATTGTCCACATGAATCCTACTTGTGTTCGATACACGAGTGACGAGTTTCCAAATGTGGAGTTTTTAGGATTACCTCCCCGAATCGAGTCTGAGATGAAGCCATGTTCAACCCTGTCGTCGCAAGAAATCTGCGAAAAATTGGGATCTCTTTTTGGAATTCAGCATCTCATGGTTGAGGGAGGACCTCAAACAGCAAACTCTTTTCTTAGAGAACGCATGGTCGACAGAGCTATTATCGTTCGAGCTCCAATTGCCTTTCGTAAGCCTCTCTTGTGGGAACCATGGTCGTCATCTCAAACGTCGTCACCCCTTGAAGAAGCAGGATTGGCATGCGTTGGAACGGAAATGTCTGGTGTAGACACTATTGAATACTGGTCGAGACCTGGGAATGGTTGGCCCTCCGACCCAAACCCACTTTCTACGTGGCCATGATCACTTTATTGGCACCACCACACATGCGCATACAACTTGGACTGTCCCTCGACGGTGGGTAGTCGGCAAAGCGAATTACGGAAATATGTAAAACTACAGCGTGTCATCCATCTATGCTATTGAAATACCTTGATTCTACACTTTTGTGTCGGCGCTTCTATGGAGCTCTCCATATCGTTTTCATTTGATCAGTACGATACCTTTGTGTGCACCAGCTATCTTCCAACTTTGTGATCTGTCCAAACTGCAGGGCCAAAATTCCTGCTTGGCAAATCTGCAAACGCCATCAGAAGCCAAAGGAAGGAAGTGTACGGCTTTGTAAGTGACATTATACAACACATGCTCGCAATGAGGCCGCTGCAGCGAGATGGATGAAGCTTCAACAATACTCAAAATACAACGCCGCCAAAGAAATCTTACCATGGCCCCATTATCGATGCAATATCGGTAATCCATTGCACAAACAGATCCACCTCGTTCTTCCACCATCTGTTCCATCATTTGCTGCAAGCGTTTGTTGCATCCAACGCCTCCCACGATAAGCACTTGTTTAACTCCTGTGTGTGCCATGGCTCGCTCTGTCGTTTCTACCAGCATAGCAAATAGAGTTTCCTGCAGACTAAAACACAAATCTTCTACTCGTTCCGTTTTGGCCAATTCTTCCACCTTGGTCAAAATTCCTGAGAAACTCACATCCATTCCTTTGACCACGTATGGGAGCGTCAAAAACTATTTCAGGAACATGGCAATTGCATAACACTGGTGAGAAGTCGAGCCGTAAGAAGGCATGAAAGAACGTTGCAGACACACCTTGCTTCCTTTCTTCGCTTCCTGTTCAATGTTATATCCTGGACTAGGATCGTTAGACAATCCGACAACCCGAGCAAACCGATCGAGACAGTTACCAATAGCAATATCAATCGTTTCACCAAATATTCGATATCTTTGATTGGAGTAGGCAATCACTTGAGTATTTCCCCCACTGACATACAGGATTACTGGATTGGACGCTCCAGTTGCAATGCGTCCCATCTCAATGTGACCAACGCAGTGGTTTACTCCCACTAGAGGTATCTTCCACAAGAGTGAAAGCGTTCTTGCGCAAACGGCACATGATTGCAAAGGTGCACCCATTCCTGGACCCTTTGTGAAGCAGATTGCTGATAACAAAGACTCGGGCTTGTCTTCGCCAGGAAAAGCTTCCAGCAAAGCTACTCTTACCAAGGCAACAATATGATTCTGATGATGTAGGGCTGTCTCTTTGGGTAGGAAACCCTCTCCAGTTGGGGGGATAAACGTCTGTTTCACAGGTGGTGAGTTCAAGATATTCCTTCATCGGTAGTGGCGATGCATGAGGACGGGAGAACTCACTTTCCTTGGATTGGCAAGAATGGTATAAGTGCCACAAGTTTCGGCACTGGAGGGAGGACTATACTTCAAGATTCCAACTCCGCACTTGTTTGCCGAACCTTCTATGCCTAGGACGATAGTATCTCCATTGTGGTTTGATTTAAACTGTTCTTGGGCGCTTGGAATTTTCAGATTTTCAATGCTATCCTCTCTGCAAGGTCCATCAGTTGCAGTGGGAACCACCTTGAAGGAAGTCATTTTCAGTTTTCCCAAAGTTTTTCTTCTTCCGATCTTGAGTTGGACGATCGATGATTATACGGTATGATGATGATGGTACGGAAACTTTTTTAGGGTTGGGGTTGGGTTAGGCTAAGGTGCTAGATTAGGGTTCAACTGGCTGTTCGACTAAATTTTCTCATCCCGTGTCAACCACCTAATATTGTGTGACCTGCTTCCACTTCTAACAAAAGCGACTTCCAAGCATCTACTATGAAGCCCCCCATCGCCTCTCAACTTGTTACTCTTGCAGCAGCATGTGCTTCGGGCTCATCTCCAGCTCCTCCTTCGGCTACAACAGCTTCTACCGGTCCTTTCTCGTCGCTACCCATTTCTTCATCATTTCAAGTGCCATGTGGCGTACCTTTCTCTTCCACCACAACAGAAGCCAGAGCAGGGCATGGGGAGGGTGTTGATAAATCGAGGTCTCCAAACGACTGGTCAAAAGCACTTTCGTATTCACCTGTGTTACCCCTACGAGGAGGAGCTTCAAGTGATGATAAAAGGAACCGAAATGCTCACGAGAATGCTCAGGCTGCTTCGGACTCGAATCGTTCATCACCAGAAAAGCAGGCAAAGAATGCTTCCAGCAATCAGTCAAAAAATAGCAAAAAGAACAGGTCGACACAGAGTCGTAAGCGGGAAAAGGCAGCCTCCCAATCGAAACAACAAGGTGGTGAAAAGAAAGACGAAGGCAAAACCACTAGCAACAATGATGCATCCACCTCGAATAATGAAAACAGTCAATCATACCCGAACCAAAGAATTGTTGAAGAAATAGTGAAGCAAACAGACTACTACCAGATTTTGGGCATTCCCAATCACAAGAAAGGAAGTCTTACAAAGGTGGAAATCCAAAAGGCGTATCGAAAACGGGCTGTACAAGTCCATCCTGACAAGACAGGGGGAGACCGTAGAGCTTTTGATAAGGTGGCTGAGAGTTTTGATGTACTAAGCGATGATAGCAAACGAGAACTTTACGATCGTTTTGGAAAACAGGGACTTGGAAATGGCGGAGCTAGTGCAAGTGGGATGCCAGGACAATTTCAAGACATCTTTCAGTCAATGTTTCAACAAGGTGGACAACGGCAGTCGTATGGTCGTACGAGACAAAACTACACCATGCGGTATCAAATAGAAGTCACGTTGGAAGAGCTGTACAATGGAACGACTCAAGATGTGTTGGTCACAGCACCCACAACCGAACGACGAAGGCAAAAGAGTGTGCAAGTTAATATTCCCAAGGGGTCCATACCAGGGCAGTCGATAGTGTTGAGCGGAGAAATGGACTTCGCCAACGACATTCCTGGTGATCTTATCTTTGTCGTATCGCAACGGCCACACCCAGTATTTACACGCAAAGGACATGATTTGGCAATGGAGCTAGAGATATCGTTGGAAGAAGCCATTTGCGGGCTCCAACGAGAAATTCGACATCTAGATGGATCCAATTTATGGATTGCATCTGCATCACGGGAAGGAAACGACGCGCCTCACATTATTCAGACAGGAGAGGTGAGAAAATTGTGCTGGAAGCAAAATACGTTTGAGGTGCCGAGTATTCATGTTTTTTGTTCCATTCTCCCTTCTCATCCCAGGTCCAAGTTCTGAAAGGTCGAGGAATGCCAAAAAAGAGCAAAGTGGAGGATGAATATGGGGACTTGTACATTCAATTTCGGGTAGAAATGCCAAATCCCCAACGACGCGGTGGTGCGGAAGCCCTGTCGAACGAAGAAATCATCGAGTTGGGTCGGTTGCTCTCCAAACTACAAGATGGTGGATCTAACAAGAAAAAACTACCAAAAACGGACGATAAAATACATTCCCTATGCACCGCGTCCTCGCGAGACTTTGGAAGTGCGAGCGGCCCAGTGCACCTCGAAGAAGACGAACACGGACATCATCACGAGGATGCAAGTCCTTTTTCATCTCAATTCTTTCAAGGTGCGAGTGGAGGAAGTTCCTTTTATTTTGGAAGCAGCTTCGGTGGAAGGTCCAACGATGATGACGGTAATGTCCAGTGCCAACAAATGTAACCATAGACGAACTAAAGATAGACCACAGAAAAGTGACAGAAAAAGAAGCTTGTAGTGTTCCACGCTATGCCTTAAATCCCAGCAAGGGAGAACCCCCCTCTGAAACTACAGCCGTCTCATCGAAGTAGCCTACACGACCGTCCTCATATCTCACAACCCTCGTCATCCATTCTAAAGGTTCGAATAATGCAGTCGAAAGCTTCTTAGTGGTCCCATGGGTGCTTGAATCCCAAAAGAACAGCACCATCCTGGCGAAATCGATGGAAGATCCATAGCCATGCAACAGTTCCGATGAATTCTCCACCGCGTTCTCCAAACTTGTTTGTCTCTAGCCATCTGTAACAAAAAAGGCACGAAATTAGAAAGGTAAAGTCGGAAGTGAAACAAAGGCCATCCTCCATCAACGTACTTTCCACCGCCGCCCATATTTCTTCTTTGATTTTTTGCATGGCGCACAAGGTGATTGGCACCTTGAGTGCGTGCGAGATTAGCAGCTCTTCCTAGCATCATTAACAGTTCCGAGGAAAAGTTTCGCTGATGGGGCTGCTGCTATACTGCTACTTTGTAGTCGACTTGGTCGAAACGACGGATCCTTCACCTGCAGCGCTGCTGGCGGACATACTGTATGTGCGTCAGTCGACCGATTGATTGATTGATTCATTTTTATTCTTCAAAAGTGGATTCAAGTACCGGTATCAGGTGTTGTACGGTCCCAGTACGTGTACCAGGTACCAGGTAGTGCCTGTAGACGTACCAGGAGGAACGGCAGCACCACCGTACGTCAGAAATGTACAGCAAGTTGACGTCTCAAATTGAAGATTGCTTTCCGTATCTTCGAGAAGAGTTCGGCCAGGCCAACGTAACCCCTCACACTTTGTCAATACTCACTCTGTCACTACCATCCTAAAATGAAGACCACCATCCTTGCCACCCTTCTTTCCGCCGCTGCTGCCTTCGCCCCTACGAAGCAAGCTGTCCAAACTACATCTCTTTCTGCTTTCCAGAACGAGCTTGGTGCCCAAGAACCTCTTGGATTCTATGATCCATGGGGATTTTTGGTCGATGCGGACCAAGAAAGATTCGACCGTCTTCGTTACGTTGAACTTAAGCACGGGCGTATCTCCATGCTTGCATTCCTTGGACAAATCGTCACTCGTGCTGGAATCCACCTTCCAGGATCCATTGACACTGATGGGGACTCTTTCGACTCCTTCCCTGATGGACTTGCTGCCCTTTTCGGTGAGGACGCCATCCCAACTGCCGGACTTGCCCAAATGGTTGCCTTTGTTGGATTCCTTGAGCTCGTCGTAATGAAGGATGTCACCGGAGAGGCTGAGTTCCCAGGTGACTTCCGTAACGGAGCTCTCGACTTCGGATGGGACACTTTCGGACCTCAAACCAAGTTGCGAAAGCGCGCCATTGAATTGAACAACGGCCGTGCCGCCATGATGGGTATCCTCGGTCTTATGATGCACGAACAAATCGAAGGCAACCCTGTCATCGGTGTTTTCATCGGCTACTAAGTTCTCTCCTTTCTCAAAGGATGACGGATGATGTATTATTATAAATTCAGCCCAAAAGGAATTAGGAAGTCTTTTTTCTTGCAACCCCTCTTTGATGACTTCTATACAGTAGAACTACAGTACTGTACCGGTATGATTGCACCTACCGTAGAGCCTCATACAGTATCGACGTCTCGAAGCAAAACGATGCAGTGTTGTTTCTTTGTAGACAGTTGTTTGTCGTATGTTTGACCGAGATCGGTGGATGACCTCCAAAAGCTGGGTACTGGTACTGTAGCGGAGATAACAAAAGCAACATTCACTTCAATTTACTTCAGTGACGCTTCATTTGCAACATCGTCTCGACTTAGTTTTCCTAACACAATTAACATGAAATAATAAAAAAAAGACACAATCCTTTGTTGTTTTGGAGGAAACTAACTAACTAATTTAGCTGATTACAATCCCAACTTTGTGCGGCGCCAGTGACGGCGCTTGGCGTTCCATTTGATCTTGTTGTCAGTACGAAGCCTGATCCAATGTGGAAGGGGGCGATTTTGCCTTTGCTTCTTTGCGAGAGTTCGCTTAGTTCTGAAAGTCTTTTGGGATGGCTGCGAATGAAAAGAGAGACAGCATGAGTGAACGAGCTTCAAAATATATTTTTCTCTCATTCAAAAGTAGATAATCCATGAAGATATGAACGCGGCAAGGAGACAAGAGTATCTAAAACATGGTTGTCATGGGAAATAAGCCAAACATGGAACCTTGAGAGACGCAACAGCGCTGGGGCTCTACCTCAACCATATTACAGCTTTTCCACCGTTTACAAAATCGATAGCTCCCAAACAACAACAGGAGTGAAAACCTCGACATAACTGTGATCCTAATCCCTGATAGTGCTGCCTTTCGTATCCACGACTTTTGAATACACATTGTTCAGCAAACACCTACCATCTTGCTCAATTTTCTGTTGATCAAAACGCGATGACAGACTTCGAAGGGAGTTGGAACTGTGGCTGTGTAGTATACGGTAGAACGTACGAACACAAAGTAATTGGTAAGTGAACAGTCGGATGAATCATGAAACGGGCGTTCCAAATAATCCATTTGAATAATGCGATTACAGGCAGGTCTTCTCGCCGTGCGCACAGTACGGACGCTTCTGTTTTCGCACACCACGAAAAAGAAAAATGTGAATCCACAATTGTAATTTTCCTATCTGCAAAATAGAACAAATTAGTTCAACCGTCGTGTTATTGGCCTGTCCTCATCATCTATCAGTATCAACACAAAATGCCAAAGTCTACAGACAATACAGTCTTTGTGAGGCTAGTCCCGACTCCACAACAGAAAGTGATGAGGCACCAAATCGAAGATATTTTCTCTCAAATTGGTCCCATCAAGAAATCATCTTGGATCAACTCTGGAAACAACGAAGCCAGCAAGGGATATGGGTTCGTAAAATATGTGTCTGACGATGATGCCAAAAATTCTGTAGAGGATCTACACAACACAAAAATGCAAATGGATGGGATAGAGTACACCTTGAAAGTCGAGCTGGCGTCAGCCCAAAGCGAAGTTTCGAAAGAAAAGCCATCAAGTTCCCATGACAAGAGAACAAGAGACGTAGATGACCAGATCGATGAAGCTGTTTTAATGAAAAAGCGATCTCGCATCATCATTCGCAACCTTTCGTTCTACGCAAAAGAAAATCACATTCGAACGGCGATGAGCAAGTATGGCGAGGTGGTGGAAGTTCATTTGCCGCGAGTAAAGTCCAATCTTCATGTTGGATTCTGTTTTGTAACTTTTCGCAACTCGGAAGACGCCAAAAAGGCGGTTGATGAGACAAATCTCAGCATCCAAAAGCGAACGGTTTCGATGGATTGGAGCATACCGAAGAATTTGCACCAACAACAGAAGAACCAGCAAAAAAACGTTGATCAAGATGTGGAAATGAAAGGCTCGGATTCGGAAAAAAATGACGACGAGAGCGATGGGTCGGATGATAGATCTGAGAACGATGATTCTCGTACTTCGAGCGGGTCGGAGAATGAATCGCACAGTGACGGTGGTAGCGACAACGATGAAGATGATGAGAGTGGTGATGAGGTGCAAGACAAGGCTGCTTCTGTTAAGGAGCAAAGAACTCTTTTCGTACGTAACTTACCGTTCGACTCTACACGGCACGATATCTTCCAGCTATTTTCGAAGTTTGGCTACATCGAGAGCATTTACCTTGTCAAGGATAAATCGACTGGTATGCTCAAAGGGACCGCATTTGTAACGTTCTCAAATCCCCGCAGCGCTCAGAAAGCGACCCAGGATGCATCCTTTGTGTCACAGCGCCAAGCAGCAGACTCATCGGAAAACAAATCAGAGTCATCAATGCTGTTGCGAGGGCGACAGATCTACGTAAACATGGCAGTTGATCGGGAAACAGCTGAGACGTTCGATAGCAAAGAGATGAAAACCGCATCTGCTGATCGTCGTAACATGTACTTGCAAGCTGAAGCTCGAGTTGAAAGCACCTCACAAGACCCGAATGCAAATAATGCCAATACGTGGGATGACCTGCCTCAACAAGATCAAAGAAAGAGGCAACATGCTTTGAAAGATAAGACTACGAAGCTACAGTCCCCCATCTTCTTTATCAATCCAAATCGCCTTTCGTTTCGAAATCTGGCGAAACATGTTGATGAAGCAGGATTGCATCAGCTTCTGGAGAAGGCGACAAAGCGAGGTCTAGAAAAGAATCTTGTGACAGCAAAGGATCAGATTGCACACTGGCGAGCCCTCGGTGAGATGTCTACAAGGGACATACTTTCCAAAGTTCAAAGTACTGAGGCTGAAGGTGGAGACATAATTTCAGGCTGGGAAAGCAAATCAACGATCAAGGACTACATTCCATCTGTATTCATTGACAGAGATTTTGGTCAAGACGGGAAGAAAGCCAATGCATCCAGCCGTGGTTTTGCGTTTGCTGAATTCACACATCATGCACACGCCTTGGCTTGTTTGCGTGAATTGAATAACAATCCCGAATACTCTGGACAGTATGCAGCAGGTGGAAAGATTGCTACTGCAACAAAGAAGAAGGCAAGGAAGGGCCGCGCCAAGGTCATGAAGGGTACAGGCGGTGGCGACTACATCGGCGAGGACGGAAGGGTTCGCGTCCCACGATTAATTGTCGATTTTGTGGTATGTATTCAATCGAAAGTACTACGCTGTTCGGATCATTCAGTTTTAACTCTATTCTATCCATTGCTATTTTGGCACACGTAGGTTGAGAATAAGGTAAAGGCCAAAAAACAAGCAGAGCGTCGACTACAACAGCAGGTAAACCAAGCAAAGCAAAAGCTTGATAAACTAGAAAAGCAAGAAGATGCTGAACCGAAAAAGAAAAGAAGTAGAGGATCCATTCAACGCGAGAAAAAGAGACACAAGAGAGAATCTGGTGAAGAGGAAACTGAAAAGCAAACGAAACTACTCAAACGAGAGTACTTCGAGAAGAAAAAGATTCTGAGAGAAGAAAAGAAAGCGAAACAACTAGAGAACAAGAAGAAGGGTGTGAAGCCACCGAAGAAGAAATCAATAGACAAGGAGGAAGAAAAATTGGAAAAACTTGTTGGAAAATATCGCTCTGACGTAGACACAACAAAGAAGAATGTAGAACCTCGTGGAGCAGTGCGCGAGAAACGATGGTTTGACTAGTAAACGGAATAGAACACAGTTGATTGGTGTGATTCACTAGTTAGATTTAGCATGTGCTGCATCATGAGCCGAGCTTGCCAATTGCCTCGAGATTCCACGAGTGATTGTGGTTCTCTTCTACCTGGCAGGTTTCGCCATGTGACTTATATCGTAGACTTGTGACGAGTTGCACAAATTATTGTTGTAGTTGAAAAGAAAAGGTTGTGCCCATCAGTATTTGCATGTGGCAGTCACTAGACAAAATTCGTTTCAAAACCACAATACGAGATTCGACAGAGACTACTAGAACTTAACCACTCGTTGCTTCTTCTTCTTTGGTGGTGCGGCACTAGCATGTGCATCTTTTGGTTTCTCTAGCAAATCATTGATATCTGTCTCACCAACTGGGTCTACCGTTTTCTTCTTCTTTTTGTCATTACAGTCTGTTGCCAAATGTTCCGTCGATCCACAATACCGGCAGGATCCACCATTAACGTAGATTCCCTTTTTGTTTTTCGAGCAATGTGACGAGAGGTGTCCCATTTCACCACAGATAAAACATTTGGCATAAGGCAGCTCTTTCGAGGAATCCCGATGCGTGCATTCTGAAAGTGAATGCTTCGTGCTTCCACATTTGTAACATAGCACTTTAGTGCACTTGTCGACGGCTTCATTTCCAGCATTCAACGGGCAGGTTGCGACAGTATGGCCTGATTTCCGACACTGGAAGCAAACAATTTGTTTGTTGTGTCCAAATCGTTGGTTGTGGACACCTCTTTGTTCCTTCTGCTTATCTCGCCTTTTCCGGGCCAACGCTGTGTATTTAGCCCTTCGCTCCTCTTTGGTCATTTTCGGTTTCTTGAGGGTCGACCCCTTGTTCGAATTTCGTTGGTTGCTTTCTCCCATGGTGATGCTGTACTGTAGTATTTTTCAAAAGAACAAAATCCAATACTGTAATCGGAGAAAATATCGTGATGTTGTGATGCTTGGTCCTCGGAGGGACCAGCACGACAGGCAGACGTTACCAAAATCTGTTGAGTTGCTTGTGACTTGATGCTATTGCATGATGATGCAACCAATAAAGAGCAAGCGTCAGATGAAGTATTCATTGTATCGGTAATGCTGCGCTCTAGTCTAGTTCTAACTCATTTTTTGTTCGAATGAAGCCTCGATACTCTACTAAGTTATTTTCAAGTTAGCAGCAATATGTCTGTGTTGCTGCAATACCGGGACTTTGTGCCTTCCTTGGATCAGCCAGCAGTACGTGCCAAACCGGCATGAAGCAGAATGGCATCAAATAGCTTGTTTGATGGAGGGCCCCATTCGTGCATCTGCGCATATCGTTGATTACTTTTCTTTCAACAGCCCATGTCAGCATTGGATACCTTCCTACTTTAGCCGTATTTTCTTTGTGGACACTACGTCTTTCTTGATTCATCATCATCGAAATAGCACCCCTATGACTCATTCTGTTTTTCGAGTTTATGCAACAAATTGTCCACCATGTGTTTCATGATTGGTTGGCCTCGCTTGGTTCGTTTGTTTAGTAGCTTGGTTCGTTGCTTGCGATCTTTCAGTTTTTGAAATCGCTGCTGTTCATTATGCTTCTTCTGCTGTTCGTGCTGCTTGGCCTTTACCATCTTTTGCTCCGCCTTTTCGACGGACTTTTGAAAGGGGTTCATTTTGTGACGACGCTTGTGAGTTTTGGCAGCAGCATTCTCTTCAACTTCTTCGACATTGCTATGGTCCAAGTCTTCCTCGTCATGCCTGGAAGGTGAAATTTCCAACCGCTTTCGACTGGCTCCTTGTCCCGCTTCGTATCCCACTTGTTTCATAACTTTTCTGTACGATCGTAACGCTTTGGCAGTTTCCACCTTTTTGCGCTGCTTTCGGTATTTGAACTCTTCCAAGGCGCGAACCTGGCCCTTTCGATGCACAAAGTCGTCAAGACTGATTCGTTCTCTGGCAGAACGAGCTTTGAAGTCCTTGCTGTTGTTGTCATCCTTCTTGGCAACCGTCTTGCTGTCACTTTTTGCCATATTTCAGACCTTTATATTTCCAATTTGTGTTTCTTTTAGTGGGTTCAGGCACCTTTCGGTTGGTTTCGTTCTCCGAAAAATGATTGGTGAAATGTCCGTCCTTCCATCAGAGTTGATTGTTGACAAACATCCAAACGCGGGAAGAACGTGCAATGTCAGATGACAAGCCGGCGGGATTCTTCGATGAAGAACGTGTCCAAACAGGCCTGACATCATCAATCTAATCTTCGTCTTCCCCATTTCTGACCGCCGACTATCCCTCGTCATTTTCAATTTGCGCTCGTTAACACAACTTGATTCTTCCTTCCTTTTCATTCAAACTTGTTTGGTGAATCAATCAATCAATCAACGATGGCGACACTCTATATCTTGTACGGATCTGCCACTGGAAATGCCGAAGGGATGAGTTTGGACTTGGCCGAGAAGACTTTGCCTGCTCATTTTTCTTCCGTGGTTTGCCAGCCATTAGACAGCTTTAAGAAATACACCTCCGAATGGTTCAAGCCACCTACGCACGGGAAGAAACATGGTCTGATCTTGATTTCGTCCACTACAGGCAACGGGGACGCACCTGAAAATGCCAGTCGGTTCATCAGATACATCAAACGCAAGCAAACAATTGAGTCCAAGCCCTTTGAACACTGCGTTTTCAGCGTATTAGGTTTGGGCGATACAAACTACGATCAATTCTGTAATATCGGAAAGATTTTAGATAAAAAAATGGTCGAAGTTGGCGCCATTCGTGCCAAACCTTTGGTATGTGCTGACGAAGCCACGGGTTTGGAGGAAAGTGTAGATCCATTTTTGGAACAAGTTTTCGCAGATATTGAACGAGCTTGTATCAAAGGAGATGCTTCTTTTGCCACCATGGGTGAAATGAAAAAGAGTCAAGAAGCAGCACCACTGCCAACCAAAGCACTCGCTCCCGTGGCACCGGCACCCATTCCAGCAACGACCGCTCCAGCTGCACCGAAAGAAAGTTCTCATGTACCACTGCCTCCCGAAAAGGCGGATTCTCCTCTTATTATTCTCTATGGATCCGCTACCGGAAATGCAGAATCCATTGCGAAAGATCTCGCAGAGACTTACGAGGGTATTCTCAGTAACCCCGATGCCAAAACCTATTTTCCTTCCGTCGTTTGTATGGAGGCCGATCAATTCAAGAAGAAGTGTCTCCCTACCTGGGAAACCAATCCACCGGCTGGAACCAAACACGGGTTGATTCTAGTGGCGTCCACCACGGGCAATGGAGATGCACCAGAAAATTGTGGCCGATTTGTCAGATTTCTAAAGCGCAAATCGAATCTTGAAGCCCAGCCCTTGCGCAATGTTGGATTTGCCGTCCTGGGATTGGGTGATACCAATTACGATCAATTCTGTCATACGGGTAAAACTATGGACAAGAAACTGGTGGAGTTGGGAGGAACCCGAGCCATGGCATTGGCTTGTGCAGATGAAGCCACCGGTTTAGAGGACGTGGTGGAGCCATGGACCCACAAGGTTCTCTTGGAAATTACAAACACTTGTCGAGGAAGCGGGGCTGCTGCTGGTGCAAATGTCACGGTAAAGGCAGCATTCGAAAATATGCCACACACCTCGGTTTCACAGGAATCGAACGAGGAGGAAAAGAAAATGGAAATTGTCGACATGCCTATCAACGAAGAAGCCATGTCCATTGGCCTCCGCACTGTCCGATTTATGATGAACATTCAACCCGGCATGCCCATGGAAAAAGTCGAATTCTCGTGGCTTCCTTCCTTGCGAGCCAGTCGATCCTCCTGCGAATTGCTGGATGACGATTGTGACCATCAAATGGACGATGACGCTTCTGTTTTGAGTACTGGATCACAGACTTACACTATGAGTCATCCGTACAGTGCCGAAATCAAGGCGGCCAGGTACCTCACAACGTCGTCTATCGAAGGAGCATCTCGTGCGTGCGAAAAGGTCGGAGCGCAGGGACTCACATCTAATCAAGCTGCTATGTCGGCTCGTGAGGCGATCGACAGCGAGTTCCCCCTTGACGGAGACAATGTTGATATCGCTGATCGAAACGCCAAGCGCGTGATCGAAATGTCTTTCTCGTTGCCAGAGGATTCTACGTTGCAATATCATCCTGGGGATGCCGTAGGACTTATTACTACCAACTCGCCAGCTGCAGTGTCATTTGTGCTGAGCATGTTGAATGAAAAACATGGACTTCGACCTGAGCAGAAAATTTCCATTGATGCGAATCTTCCAATTACTATTGAACAGGCTGTCCGAGATTGCATGGACTTGTGTTGCGTCCTCAAGAACAAGCGCATCCTTTACACTTTGGCGCAATGTGCGACTGATGACGACGAAAAGAATGCCCTCTTCATGTTGTCAAGTAAGACGAGGGAGGGTACAGCTGCCTTTGATGAATACATTGTGAAGCAACGGCGATCCGCTGTGGACATTCTGCAAGAATTCCCATCCTTGCAGAATATTACCTTGGAGGGCCTCCTCGGCGTGCTCCCCCCTATTGCACCACGATACTACTCAATTTCGTCGAGTCCGCTCGATAAAGAGCGTGGTAAATCTTGCCTGACAGTGGCATTCTCCGTCGTCGACTATCTTACACCATCGCTAGTGGTTGATAACAAAGAAGTGGGCAAGAGAAGGGTACAAGGGGTTACCACTGGTTATTTGGAAACCGTTTGTGCTCCCTTTTTGTGCAACTCTGGAAAACCAGTGGAAGTTCCAGAAATAAAAATGTTCCCAAAGCCAACCGCTGAATTCCGCATGCCTGCAGACCTTTCGAAACCCATAGTCTTGATTGGCCCTGGAACAGGTATTGCTCCCTTTATGGGATTCCTTTCGCATCGTCATGTACTGGAAAAGTCCATGGATTCCTCGTCTACGCCAACCAATGAGACTTCTTACCCGATGGAAGAAGAAGACGGGAGTAATGGTGTTACGCATTTCCGCAGTCTACCACATGTTGGGGAGGTTGACGTGTTCTTCGGCTGCAGACATGCCGAACACGATTGGTTGTACAAAGAAGAGCTCCAATCTTTGCACCAAGGTGGGATTATTGCCAACCTTTATACTGCTTTCTCTCGCGATAACGGCAAAAAGGAATACGTCCAAGATGTCATGACCAACAATTTCGTTTGCCGAAAAAGACTCGTTGATCTAATCTTGAAGCAATCGGCATGTGTATACATATGTGGAGACGGCAATCGTATGGCTCGTGATGTGCAAGTAGCCTTGGCGACGATTCTTGCTGCCGAAATTGAAGGTGACAAGTCTGTCGATAGTGGTATGGCGCTTGTTCAAGATTTGAAACAACAGGGTAGATTGGTTCTGGATATTTGGAGCTAGAATTATTACAGAAGTGCACAGCTGAACATGATAGTTGTCTTAGGAGCAGGTGCCGTAAAATGGAGTATCTCAACTCGGAGTAGTTTTTCAAACAATTTCATTATCTGTATCTGGTGCACCCTTATCATTCACCGTGTGCCACTCTCCTTCCTTTTCTTTCTTTAGCGTAACGACTATCCTGTTCTCTTGCTTCTTGTACGAAGCACTCATTATGTTAGCTGTAAGCTTACCAAAGCTCAATACTTGGTCTTCCTCCTTTAAGTTTTTCACCACCAAAGTGAAGGAGCTGTGGATCAATTCGATGTGAGCAGTGAATCTGGCGATTGAACTTCCCAACAGGACTGGCCACTTTTACACTTACCTCTCGGTGGAATCCAAGGTGACATCCTCGTCCGTGCACTAGAACGAAATAATGAGAAAGTGTGGTACGAATCAAAATAAAGAATGACGTATGTGGCAACGTACTTTCTCACCAACGCCATCCAGTTCAATATACAACTTTACCGATTTCGTTCCATCAGCAAAGGCGTAGGCAGTGATATTGCTCTTATGATAATCGAAAGAAGTGTGACTCTTTTTAAGAGTTTTCTCATCAACAGAGAGTTTTTCCATTGAGAGCAGTTTAGGTTCTGCCTTTCCATCCCACTTCGGACCATTTGCTTTGTGTGCATGTGCAAAATAGTAAGCGTTCTTCCCCTTGCTTTCAATATTTTCTTGGAGGGCGGATTTCGCATTCTCATTATCGACGACAGGGGATTCTGTGGTCATTTTTACTGTAGAATGTGGTGGTTGTGGAGCAAGTTTTGGTGTATTCTGTTGAGTTTGTTGTCTGGTTGCGGAGGAAATCACCATCGAATTCTTCTCATTCTCAAGACAAATATGCTGATTCTTATTTTCTCTTTCCGTGTAGGCAGCATTCATAGTTTAGTGGTAAAATATCTGCCTTCCAAGCAGATGTCCCGGGTTCGATTCCCGGTGAATGCAAATTTTTGGCGCGGACGAAAATTTCGTCCCGTTTCAAAACATGAGCCCTCCTAATCTCTCGCGGCTGCACAATGACGTCTCGACATGCAGGGGAATACCGACAAGGCTAAGTTGTTCATTTGCAGCATTTGTGGAACTTGCGGTTCCTAGTGCCAGCCAAGCTGTTTACATTGCGTCTTGCACCAATTAAAGTCCTCTTCTTCAGCATGCGGCCCTGCATTGTCACCTTGCACAACGGGAATCTGCCCTTCATTGTCCTCCCGTCGCCACAAGACAATCCAATTTTCGAAAGACTGACGCTCAAACAACTTCTTCGCTGCAAACTTTGGATCATCAGGTGTCCCTTCCGACAATTCAGTGATACATTACAATCAATTCACCAAGTGTACTCCACCTTTTCTCTTATCACTGCCCAGTTCACTTGATGGAAATATCGTCCTGTCCTACTTCCTGCCTTGCTAGCTTCTTTGCAACCTTGTTGGTTTGGGCACAATAGAAGCCAACCTTGAGGCCGTCTCCACTTTTGCTTTCAATACAAGCTATGAATACAAAAGCAGTCACAGCGATTCCCATGACCGTGGACAAAAGTCAGCTTCCACTTTCACATAATCCGAGCCCTGTAATGTGAAAGGAGCCCTGATATCATCCTCAACATCCATTCCACCCTTGCGTTGTGGGCCTTTGGTGAGGGCGGCATCAGTGTCTGGCATGTTGCGGATCATCTGAATATTTGCAGCACGCACAAGCACTGATCAACCTCATGATCAGCCTCGTCGATGGTTTGCCTCATCTTTTCTTGTCTTGCCATTGTATGGGCTTGATTTTCCTCCCGCTCTTAATCAGCCAGTGTGATTGTTGTTTGCGCTGGTGCGATTGTTGTTTGTGCTGCTGGTGTTCGTATTGTTGCCAGCCATTACTGATCTGGTGGTGGTGGTGGTGGTGGTCCGGTTGTCATCACCTTGTCCTGTAGTTGCAATGCCTATGAGAGTGATACTATAATGTCAGGCGTTTAACAAAGGCTTTATCGTCAATGTACGTTGGGTGTTGATTGGACTCAGTTCTTCATTGATGACGACCACTGCACATGTTGAGGGAGAAATCAAATTCTGTTCGTTGTTGGCTGTATGATGCGCCATAATTGGGGATTGGTACTAATGCTACGTGTTCTACGTGACAATGACTGGTCTTCTGACGAAAATCGTCCGAAAACCGATTCCTGCATTTTTCGAGCAATTTACCTCGTAGTGCGTATTTTGATCAGTTGCTCCATCAAAACTGCCTTATAGTACTTTGCTAACTACCAGGTACCGAAGCGGTACCGCACGAAACGGTCGTCTATGGAAGAAAGGTTGCTGCTTTCGTGCCACATGAAAAGAAAGTGTCATCCTACTGTACCTACAGTAGTGCGTATTTTGATCAGTTGCTCCATCAAAACTGCCTTATAGTACTTTGCTAACTACCAGGTACCGAAGCGGTACCGCACGAAACGGTCGTCTATGGAAGAAAGGCTGCTGCTTTCGTGCCACATGAAAAGAAAGTGTCACTGAATCGAATTGCTCTAGGCAACAAGGAATACTTTCAAGAGTGATTCGTCTTGCTTTTTTCATTGCAACTATTGTACTGCATCGCATTCATCTAAAATATTTCCCATTACATGGATCAAGACTCTTTGTCAGCCTGACTTTTATCCCTCACAATTTGGGCCTTGTAGTTGAGGTTTGAATGCAAACTATTTTAGGGCAGCCTTCCCGGAGAAGCAAAATGTTGCCGGTCCTGTCATGAAGACTTTGTTGTCCGTATCACTGTTCCACTCAATGAACAAATCTCCGCCTGGGAGAGTAACTCTCACTTTGTTTCCGGCAGGAATCTTTCCTGCTCTAATAGCAGCAATAACCAACGCGCACGTCCCGGTACCACAGGCAAGTGTGGGCCCAGCTCCCCGTTCCCAAACCTTCATCTTCAGATGGTTGTCTGAAAGAACTTGAACAAACTCCACATTAGTCTTCGCAGGGAACTCAGGGCACGCTTCCAAAGCAGGACCGTCGCTTTCGAAATCGATATCCTTTTCCAAATCATCAACGAAAATAACAGCATGTGGATTACCCATGCTGACGGCGCTGACCTTCCAAGTTTTTCCATTGCATTCCAAGTTTTGTTCAACAACCGAATCGCCCTCAAAATTTGGATCCAAAGTAGTGGGAACATTGGCTCCAATCAATTCTGGCTCACCCATGTCAACAGTGATAGTGGTATCATCATTCATTACAGGAATAATGCGCCCAGCGAGGGTATTCACTTGATATGATTCGGCTATTTGGAGAAGTACAAATAGGTTGGTCAGAAAAGACATTTACAAGAAAAATCCTCTATCTGCCAACATTGTGTCGGCCTTACCGTCTGCGCCAAGATCTTTGAGAAATTGCGCGAAGCAACGAATTCCGTTGCCACACATTTCAGGCTCGCTACCATCTGAGTTGTAGATTCGCATAGCGAAGTCGTAGTCATCTGAAGGAGGCTTGAGGGCGAAAATTACCCCGTCGCCACCGATTCCAAAGTTTCGGTCGCAAAGTTTCTCAGACTCTTCGGGCGTGAGGCTTGGAGCTTCCTTGTCGCGATCATCCACGAGGATGAAATCGTTACCGAGACCTTCATACTTGCTGAATTCGACCAAGCGTGAAGCCTTTAGTGTCGAAGGTATACGGAGGTGTTTAGGAGAACTATTTGTCAAACCGAAGGATTGACTCATCAAAAGAGCGAAAGATGTTTGAGCTAGTCTCATCATGATCGAAAAGTGACGAAAAACATGAAAACAAAAAATCGGAAGAGGAGAGCAATTGCGTTCGTATTCGTCCGTCATCTTATTTCAGATGATCACTTCGATTAAAACTTACGTCTGCCGCAGAAATACAGTCGCATGCAAAATTCTGAAACACAGCGTAGAATACGTAGCCACGTCACAAAATCGGCCTAAGAAAGTACTTTCAGTTTTTGCCCGCGCCTTCGTAGAATTTCGTGAATTTTGTACCAGACAATGAAGACAACAAATCACCATTTCCATCATCAACCTTCGGACCCATTGTTGACATCAACAAAACGTCGTCGTTCTTTATTTTTTTGCATAAACCACTTCTAAACACATCAAAGAAGCATAATATCGAAAAAAATAAAGATGGTAGGGGAGTTAAAGCATTGAAAATCTACCAAAAAGGCTGATGGATTTGATTCTATCACGATGGTAAGCTTTGAGGCACTTGCATTCATCACTGACTCTAAGAAAATTGATTCGCAGCTAACAGTAGCCCTATGTGTACATTAGCTATCCTGCTTGTACCAACTGATATGGCCTCAGTGGTTTCTGTCGTCCCCAAAATGACCTCTGAAGCCCACCATCATCGTCCAAAAAGAAGTTTTCGCATGGTTTTGGGACCCTACGAAGTCCCAAGGCACAGAGTACTTGAAAGTTTCGGCGGAGGTTACTTCTATTGGTATATGGAAGGCCTTGGATTAGTTTTATGTTGGTTATGAGTTTATCTTTCTGCGAATTCTCAACCGAGTCCTTCAATTGGCAAAATTCGTCAAAAACAGATGGATTGCATGGCACGGGCCCTACAAGAAGAGAAGATGGAATCAGATGCGGCGGAAGGCCTCATGGTTATATAGACTACCCAATGAGGTGTGAAACAATTTTTTGTCTGACCTCAATCATGCCACAATCAACAAGTGCTGTTGGAACCGTTTCCGTCAGCTTGCCGTTTGGGATGCACAGTGGGCCCCACATGCAGAGATCGCCGAGATCCAAGCTATGGTATGCTCTATTGGTATCTGATATAACGACAGAGCGTTATTGGTTCACTTTATTTGTTTCATCTGCGAAGATTTTGCGATCTCCTTCTTTGGGGCTGTGTTTTCTGTGACGCTCTGAAGTTCCCTGTGGCCGCCATTGAGACACCTATCCATTCAACAACACACCAGGGTCTCCCTTGTATGTCTAAGGACTGGATTTTTCGGGACCGAGGCAATGATTCGGCCTAGATCAAGAATCATAAGGCCAAAATGGTATAAGAAAAAGGTAAGTTCGTTGAAAATTTGTGGAATTGTCAAATTGTTGGCCTAATTTCGTCAAACTTCTTTATTCTGGCTTATACTATTCGTCTATGGGTATATCTAAGACGGTTTGGCGGTTTGAAATGGGAAATTTCAGGGTAGTAGTGACTGAACTGCACCTACTTGACATGTGGAGTCGATTTGGCATGCAAGCCAGAAGTTGCCAAGAATCTATCCTAGTGACCGTGTCTGTATCCAGACACGGTAGGACCCCGACAAAAGTTTTTCAAGGACCTATATGTATCGACTTAGGGTGTTGTTTTGCAATGCTGCGACAGAAATGAGATTCCCAAATCTGGTTTCCTGTTGACCCCTTCCCACCATTTGAGATGACTTGATTGAATGTTTCAAAATTCCGTGTGTACTAGACAGAACTTTGCAATTCAAAGTGCGTACACATATATCCTATAGACATTAGGCAAATAGTATATGTTCAAATAGCAAGAATTGTAATCAAAACAAGGTCTTATCGTACAAGATGGAACTCTTGTTTCTTGTAGCAGAATTTCGTCTGATGTCTAGTCGATTAAGTCAAAACCACCTCCGACTCGATCGACTCTCGGTTTTTGTACCAGGCTACACATTTTCCACGATACGCAGTCAAAATTTGCATGCGACTGTAGCAGCAGCGACAACTCTACTATCGTTGGAAATATAATTGTTTGTTTCTACACACTGTTTCTACACAATGCCGCCGCGACCCCAAGTGTTGAATGATGTCTTTCAGCAGGCAGCCGATCAGGCAAGACAAAAGTTGCCCCAGCTAACGCGAAACCAACAGGTATGATTTCGCTTGTTTGTTTGGGTGTCGGATATTAGAGAGATCCCTCTTACATGCTTTTGGTTAGGTTTCCCGTTTGTACCGCAATTCGCTGAAAGTTTTAAACAGTTGGGCAATCGATAGGGATATTTTCAACGAAGAAGCAACCAAGCTGAGAGCACGCTTCGATGAATCTCGAGGCTGCAACGCTGGCAAGGCGCTTCGATTGCTTCGAGTAAGTTCAGGTTTGCTCGATTTTCAATGAAGTAATGGTCATTACTCTCGCTCATACCGCATTTGATACAGGAGGGAGAAGATGAATTGTATGCGTACATGCACCCGGATCCATATCGCAACCCTATCATGCCTGGGGGTACCAAGTTCATGAGAAATCCTCCTCTACCAATGGATGTTTGCTTCCCTGACGGAAACTACCCTGCTGATGCTCCAAAGTATGAAATCAATCCTGATTGGAGTAAGGCTACTCCGGAAAATGGACGAGCAGCTACCGGATACGTCTTGGTTGATTTCGGAAAGAAGAATATGGAGTAGACTACAACAAGTTTACTTTATCTAGCTTGTACTGTACTTCAACTGAGTCGACGACAGCAAAGAGAAAGAAGCTCAATTTATAAAAGATTAGCAATATTTATCAGTAATATTTCTAAGGCTTGCAGGTATAGAAGATTTATGAGACAGGAGATAGATGCCAGACTTAAAAGCTTACACTTTTCTTGCAGCAATTAACATTCTTTTAATTTAAAAAAAGGATGATGCAGATGCAGGATTCGAGGATAGCTGAATGTCATGTGCAGCGGCCGACAGCACCAAAACTTCGTCGCACTAACTGCCCTTGGGCTTGTTTCTTTGTCATAATCTACAGTATGTGAGTAAAAAAGTGTAGTGCTGCCGTAATCTACAGTATGTGAGTAAAAATGTGTAGAGCTGCGGTTGCAGCGGCAACAAAACGTGCATTCACCGGGAATCGAACTCGGGACATCTGCTTGGAAGGCAGATATTTTACCACTAAACTATGAATGCTTCCGCTATACACAAAACAAAATCGAACTCAACATACAAACAGTAGTAGAGGTCGTTCTGCAAATATGACAACCGTATAGAGAAATTCCTGTCGACGACAATGACAAAATGAAATCAGCGCTCCAAGAAAATATTGAAAGCAAGGGGAAGAACACTATTCCACACATGAACACAAGGAAAATGGTCCCAAGTGGGATGGAAAGGTAGAGCCTAAACTGCTACAGTGACAAATAATTATCCATTCGTAACTTTTACCTCTTTTCAAAAAAATCTCTCGGCAAAAATACATTGTCAGTACAAGTACTGTCTCCGGTACCAAGTGTTTGCTACGCTACGCAATCGACCACTTGACCTTTGTTGAAACTTCGTCCGCAGCGACCTAATCCTGCTCCATCTTGGCAACCGCTGCCAAACGATCCTCTTCGTCTTGTCGAATTCGCTCAGCCTTTGCCTTCTCTTTGGCTTGTGCGTCTTGCACACGTTGATTGGTGTATAGCTTCTTTTTGGGTGTCTTTGTCAAGAGAGATTCCAAATCCACGAATTTAGTCTTCACCCCCGATTCTCGACATGAAGCAGCTACTTTCAGTGGGGATCTAGGATCAGTGGAAGATTCAACAATGTCCTTTAGGCCAAACGTTGTCCCATCCACCAGCTTGACTGTGATAGTTTCGGCCTTTGGGCCAGCGAACTCGACTATTTGAACTGAAAGAGGTGAATCTCGAAGAATTACCCCAAACTCGTCGACAGTAATCAGTGGGATGGCGAGCGATGATTGGAGGAAACCAAATGCTCCTGAAACGATCCCAACACCAGCAGACGCGAATCGCCGTCTTGACAGTACCCCTGGCTGCCCGTCTCCTCCTGTTGTCATTGCTCGGTGTAGCTGGCAGCGATTCCGATTATTATCGTTCACAAATGCCAGTGATGTTGAGGTGGTGAGGAGCAAAAATATCAAAGACCTCATCGTTGCAAAGATTGAAAGAGGAGATAAAAATATGGGAGCAATGTGTGCAAGATCAGATGTTTTTGGAAAAAAACGATGACGTTTCAGACCCCCGAACGACGTCCAAACTGGGAAATCCCGTGTGTCCTGAACAGGATGAAAACTACTCCTGTCAGAGTTGAACCTTTATCCAAAATCGCCCATCGCAACTGTGTATGGGCTCCAAATTATAATACAACTCTCCCGTGTCGTCAATACTTGGATTTCTTGCGAAGGATGCTAGTTGCAATTTCATCGAAGATAGAGCAGATTGAGTTCCAGCAGGCAACCACTTCAACTTTTCTTGCCATCGTCCGGTAGTTCTACAATAGTGTCGAATTCAAATCGCACGCCAGTGTCGAATTCAAATCGCACGCCAGCCGACGACTGTACATCGTTTTTTATTATTTGCAAACCCATTTTCTAACTGTACTGTACAGTAGGTACCGGTAGCTTTCATTGTCGATTGAACTCTTATTCGAAACTTGTTCTTCCTTCAAGGATGCCAATCAGTGACGTTGATGCTCCCAAGCATCAAGTCGCTATCAAGTCTATCATAAGGGCTGTTGAAAGCAACAGAAGTGAAGGATCGTCTGAGAATTCATTCTCATGCTGCGGACCTCTGGTTCGGTTGCTGGTACGGTCCGGACAGTCGAAAGACTGCGATGATATTGTGCCAGGGCTTACCTATAAGCAACAACGAGATCTTATCATCAGTTCAATTCAAACGATGTCCAAAAAGCAGTCGAACCGGTTTTTTGGTGGTCTCAAGAAACACGTTGAGGGTATTCTCGTAAACGAAGCGTACGTTCCTTCATCTGTATACAACGAAACCAGTGGTGGTGACAAAGACTCGGCCATAATTCCTGACGATGAATCTACAAAATGTCTCTGCTTCCTGAAGTGTGCAGCAATTTGCGTCGGAAAATTCTTGGAAGGACGACTACAACAAGAAAAGGAAAGGGGCAAACCAACTGGATTGGAACTTTCAATAGTCCCACAGGTGTATGAAGTTGCATCCAACTTACACAAAATATTATTCTCGCTTCATGTGTGCGGTCCTGATGGAATTTCTACCCAAGATTCTGTATTGGAGATGTGCGAGAAGTGGTGGCTGAGCAATGGAGAGAATAAAGAGAGTCTTATTGCACAATGCTTGCCACTCATTGTTCTCAAGGCTCTAGATGATACTGAATTCCAGAGCTCTCATGTTAAGAGACTATTCAAACTACGAGAAGCGTTCCTTGTCATTGATTTCAAGAACCACTCCAGCGATTCTTTGCGATCTCTCTTGCTGAGGATTGCATCTAACCCGTTGCTGTTGAAACTACCTGAAGGAAAGAAGTTTCTCTCCTGTCTCCTTCGAGATCCGGATCTCATCACTGATTTGCATATCTCATTCAGAGCCCAGATTCCAATGAGTAAGAAAACCGCACTACAGAGTTATGGAGAGATCTACTTGTGGTCATGGAGGGATGCTTCACAAGACGCCGAAGAGTTGCGAGAGACGATTGAACATACAGCACTTCAAGATCTGATGTATGCTTCCATCCACGTATCATCGGAAGCGACACTAAAGTCTGTTATGACTGTATTGGATGTCTTCTTTTTCGATAAGAAAAACACGGAAATAGCATCTCTGCTGTATAGGTTGTACAATCCTATTCTTTGGCGATCATTGTCAGCAACCAATCCATTGGTCAGAAAGAATGCAGTGCGAATCCTCGAGAAAATCTTTCCTCTGCATGATCCCACTACAAGTGATACAAGAAATGCAATGGATAAAGCTATAAAGGCTTTGGATAGTGCTCTCCAAGACAAAGATATCACTGTACGAATAGTGGCTGCCGACGCCACGGCTAAGATCGCTGTGCTCTTTTGGGATGTATTGCCTGCATCTGCCATTCGATCGCTCCTCAACCGTAAGTTATCTTAACTTACCAACAAACATGATGACCACACTAATCTGTTTCTCTACTCCGTTCAGATATCATAATCGGCCATGCTTCCGACGCTTCATCAGTTGCTGTTCGAGTAGCTGCCTTGGAGGCTATCATAAGTCTTTTGGATATTCCTCAATCCCATGCTGTTTTGCGCCCTTTGTTACCTTCTTTGGGAAACCTTGTTCACGATAAGTCCGAACGAGTCAGGTCGTCGGCGTTGAAGATGCTGCTGAAGGTCAAAGAAATTCGTGGCATCCGATATTTCCACGTGGTCCCCGTCAGTCACCTGACCGCAAGACTTTCTGAGGAGACTCGTCTTCATCATGACCCTCGGAATGCCATCTCCCGCCAACTGACAGCACTCATGCTCAACTCATACTTCCCACAGGGACCGAATGTTTCTGGGGCTGATCAACTTCAACGTACATTGACGTTTTTTCACACAGATCCTGATGCAGCAGTTGCGTTTTATGCCAATCTTGTGGACCTCTTGGATATGAAACCACTTGTCAAGTTTATTGCCATGCTTTTGACATGTCTCAAATCGGCAGTTGAGGTTGAGCAGGCAAAAGTGTCTGAATCTGCGAAGTCGAAAAAAAAGAGGCGTCGTTCTCCAATTCAAGAGCAGGAAGGGGGTGCTACAGAAAAACTTGTACCTTCCAATATTGCCTTTATGGAGGCACTCACCGAAACCCTCTGCATTATGGTTGAATCGATCATGCCAAGAACTTCTGCAGATTGCGATGATGATTGCAACAATCTCCTTCTCCAACAATTTAGTGACGTGGGGTTTGTCAATATTTTGGTGTACTTTGGTCAACTAGGATCCGAATTACATGATTATCGATGTGAAGAAGCAAGTGGTTGTCTTCGCACGTCCTCGTCTCTCCTCCGATGCATGTCACATCTACCAAAAGAAACAGTAGATGGCATTGCTGACTTTGTCTTCGCGTCGATGACGTCATGGAATCAAGAATATCAGCCGCCCCACCTCGTCTTGTCCCATCTTGCACCATTGTGTGTCTGGGGAATGACGGTTGAGGTGACAGAAACACTTGCAAGGTCCATTCAAGTTCCTTTCAAGGATGAGAACAATATATTTTCTCCTTTGTCCATAAGTCTTGATGAGACGGCGACAGCGCATCGAAGGACCTCCATCCAACGACAGAGCAGCCACTCAACGATCATCCCAGAACAGGATCCCTACACAGCTTTGGAGGTTATAAATACAATCCTACAGAGTAGCGACCCATCTAGTACCTTCTTGAAGGATCAGATTTTGACATGCGAAAAATCTTGCGCGTCCATCAAGTTAGCGCTTGAAAGAGGCATTGCTCTGGCTGAAAAGGTTTTCCAAGCGGATACAGTAAGTTTGATAGTTTGGTGGGGCGTAGTCAGTATGCTTGTCTCGCAACTACTCATTCGCCTTTTTTTTTCACACAAAGAATTTTGGAAATGGGTATAGAGAAAGTCATTTTGAGTACATACTCTGTATGTGCGAGACATATGGAAAGTTTGTCTTGCACAAGGTAGCAACAATTGAAAACAGTGACGAGTACCGATCACAGATGAAGACGTTGCTTGAGTGGACTACTGAAAAGGCTCTTGTAGCGTTTCTCACCGCCCGTCCTGAGGGAAATGAGCTTCGACAGCTGGATTTATCACGTATTTCAAATGTTTCTGATTCAATGGTGTTATCGCCACCAAGGCAAAAAGTTGACTTGCGTAGAACCCCGACGCGACTTGGACGACCGTCTTTCGCCTCTGGCAGTGACGTTCCGCCGTTTCTACTTACTTCCTTCACAGCTTCATTGCTTCAATCTGCTTGTATCCTTTTTGCCGAAGAGCTTGCCTTGGGGTCTGCAAACAGCAACGACATTGCTGATGCTGCAATAATTTGGTGCAAGGTGTTCGGCGAGGCTAACAAGGAAAGCAACGAAGGCGCAGAGTACATCATCGAGGGAATGGTTCCAAGTTTTTTCCGCCTTGCTATTCAACTATGTAAAAGCTCGTCAAACTTCCTTCTCTTGAAAGAGTTATTAACCTCGTGCCAAGAAAAGACACTGCGGAGAGTCAAAGACCATGTGAAGAAAGCAATATCATCGCTCCTTCATGGAAGATTTGGCGAGCAGTCGAATCTCACAGATGGTATCATTGAGACTGTCATTAGCGCCGCGGCAAATACTCCGTCGGATACGGACGAAACCATACTCGAGACAGACACATTTTGGACAACACAAAATGGATGCGTAGGCCTCGCATTGGAAGCTATATTTACTAGCAAGACGGCAGCCATGGCACTTGTTCAGAGGTTGACTCAAGATCTCTGTTTGGTTGCAGACGAAACAACTACAGTAGATATGTTCAAGTTAAGATGTTTGCAAGAGTTGATGTCACGCTCTAGTCTTGCAGCAGAGAAGACAAAGAGGGATTTGACTGTTGATCAATTCAAGGAAGGGAGTAAAATGAGAGGCTACGTGCAGAAGCTATTCGAGACGGCATCATGAGAGTTCCAAACAAACAAGGAAAAGGTTATCTTAAGAATTATTGTCATTTCTATCTTTTTCTAGTGTTGAGCGTAACAGACACAAAATTCTGTACAACGAGTTAATGAGAAAATCATCTTGAAATTCTAGTTCTTCGCCGTTGTCATATCAGCACCAACAAAGTCGAGAAAGTCATGAAGTCGAGCTGTATGTACTGAATATGGCGACCGGAGCTTACGACACGCCCTCATCTCAACATTGCGTATATCAGTCAGACTCACACTCCCTCCACATATTTCGGCTACCTCCCGTGCTGTTCTTGATACCCCGTCGTCCAGTCCATGACGTAGTCGAAGGATATCCCGTTCGTGTGGGGATAGTTCAGTAGCCATCGCGTTTTCTAGACACTGACGCAGCAAAGAAATTTCGATTTGGTCTTCTAGTGACGGCTCGGGAGATTTGAGGTTGGCCGCCATTCCTAAGAGATCATTGGAGGCCTCTTCGCCACCTGCTTTTCCGGGCATCGAAACCTTTTGAAATTGATTTGGCGGAGCATTGATCGAAATTGGTGAGGTAGTTGACTGTAGAATGAAGGCAAGTCGCTTAGGTGTAAGGTCAAGTTCCTTGGCCGCATCTTCAAGTGTGACTCCTTCGCCAGTCAGGTCGTATTGCTGCTTGACGAACGCTTGATACTTCTGTCGATAGGCGTGATAATACACGGGGACACGAAGACCAACTTCCTTGGCGGTGTTGAAACAGCTGCGAACTGAGTTTGTTACCCACCAAGTAGCATACGTTGCAAATTTTAGGTTGCGCTCAGGCTCAAAGCGATCTGCAGCTATGGAAAGACCCAAAATACCCTCTTGGATTGCTTCTTCGAGACTCGGCTAAAAAGTTAACGGTTGGAGCATTGAATAGACAAAGCATCAGACGACATGGTGAAGATGAAGAACAAGAACTTTCACACAGCGAGGCCTTACTCTGTCCCAACCGCCTGCATATTGCGCATTACCTGACACTGCAGTGGATCGTTGACACCAAGTCTTTGCAATGCTGAGGACTAGACGTATATTACTGCTAATCAGCTTTTCCTATAAAAAAATTTCAGAAGTATTAGACGACATGACGAAGATGAAAAACCAGAACTTTCACACAGCATGGCCTTACTTTTGCCAGAGCACCATCAAGAATAATTCGTGCCAATTCATCCCGACCACCAGCAATATTCAATTCTGCTACGACATCTTCTTCTGTCAAAATTTTGTCTATTGATAGCGGGCTGGAGTTGGGTTGAAATGACGACGACTGATCAATTCCCAAAATGTCGAAATCTGTCTCTCGGAGTCGTTGAAAATTCCAGCCTTCGATATCATCGTCCATGCCACTTAGACTTCGAGCATCCATTTCTTCAAGGCGATTGCAATGTACACCAAAAATAGAAAGCCCCTCGATGTCTTCTTCATCCAGTCCCAAACTTGGATATTGATCAATTTGCATTTCTGAGATGAATTCATTGGAGTATGCTTCTTGTTCCATGTTCGACTCCTGCAGTCGCAATTGCTTCATCTCTGCGAATTTTGTTACTTTGGCCATTGCCTTTGACGCCCGTCGTATTTTCATCCCTAGTTCTCTCTCTTCCTCTCTCGTGAGAAGGTCGTGCATCAGTGCATCTGTCATCATTAGGTAGTCATTTGGGTGTGATTTCTTCTTCATTCTCCGAGTCCCTATTGTAGAAGCAGCCGTGGATTCATTTGCATTTGCACTTGCATTTACTTTCACTCTTGATCCACTCCACTTTCTTGCTCCTTTCTTGGATTCTGTTTTTCCTTCTGCCGGAGCAGCTTCTCTCCTGCTCGCAGCATGAAGAGCCGTGGTTCTGGCAGTCGAAGAACTCGAAACCGACCCCAAAGCTGTCGCCGGTTGGGAAGCTTGAAACGCATTGCATGTCGATACAGCCAAGCAACAAACAAGTGCATAAGCCGAAGAGTGAGCTCTAGAATTGATTCGTGTTGTTTGCTTCATTTTTGAACGCATGTGGGCAATTTGAATTTGCAAATGTAAGGTCTTTCGTAAATCTGGGGCAGCTGTTCTTGTTCTTGTTGACGTAAGCAAAGATTCTTCAGATCAGTGACATACTGTAGTGTAGGAGTCGTCTGGTCATCCATCGAATTTGACCAATTTTACAATTTTTACTATTCAAAAAAATATGTATGAATACAAAATTTGAACTTTTACGCTACCATAAAAACAGTACTATCATGATTGTAACTACAGTACCACTGTTGAATGCATATATGAAGCAACAAGTGTCAACATGCGAATCTTTTCTACCTTATCGTCATTGCACAAAGAAGTACTACTAGGTAGTAGAGGTGGTGCTGACTGGCTGGCTGGTGGTGGCGGTAGATCTCCTCCTCCTGGGGCAGGGCAGTTCAGTCTGTCGTCCAGCATGTCATTTGTTGTGAGGTGGGATGAGGTCGACTTTCTAAAACCATAGGTACAAACGAATACAAGGACGTTGGAAACAAAGAAGCCAGCAGTACCAGCGCAAGAAGACAGGAGAAGCAAGGCAGCTACAACTGCTACTACTACGACAGTACTACCACTATCATACGACTACTACTAGTAGCAGCAGCAGCAAGAGTAGTAAGCTTAAATCGCATGCTGTGCAAGAAGGAGGGAAAAAGTTGTTCTTCTCCATCACCTTGAGATTTACAACTCTCTTATACAAGTACTCAAATTACTGTACTGAACTGTACTGTAGTTGCCTCCTTCAGCATAGTATTTTATATACCACCGTTCGATGGACAGACAAGTAAAAATAAATTATGATATTTTAAAATACCGTACCAGGTACCGGTACCGCAGGTACCGGTACCACTTCACGAACCGTAATAACATTTTTTAAATTAAAATTCAACACAGCAGTAATGTAACAGTACTGTAGTGACCAGCTGAAAGGTATATCGTCTGATATACGGTAACATCTGTACGTCCCATCACCATATAAACATAGCTTATCGTGGATAGAAGCACAGGATATCGTTTGATGCTTCATGGCACAATTTGTAATATCATGGCATAGTTCACTCCAAGAACACATCAAGGACACGCAAAGAGAGAAAAGAGGGAATGCCCCAGCCAGCTGGGGGGCATGCATTCTCTGGAGGAAACACTATGTGTCAGCTACTGTGAATCGTGGTGATTGGACCATGGGGCATATCTTCGACGCCCAGCACTAGTAGTACTGTAGGCTAGCTAGTACTCTAGTAGTAGTACTTCAAGAAGAAGTGTTACCTTCCCAAAAGAGGTGATCAGTCTTGCAAGGACCTACATCGTGCATCATCTAACCCTTGCCCCGACAATGAGACGAAATTGAAAATACTCCAACCATTTTGGTCAAGGAGGAGATGAAGTAACAATTCCCTGTCATATCTTGGGGGGAAGACCTAAAAAAGTTTAGTAGAAATGATTGTTATATTTTTCTATACTTCGTTGTTTGGTTGTGAGGTACTAGTGCATGTGCCCTTCTCAATTAATTGACACGTAGTATTCCAATAGATACCAAGATGGCTGCCGACCCAATACTCAGGAGAGAATATGTCTGGTTGATTCTAAGGGAAGAAGTGCCAAGAAAAAAAACATAAAAAAAAACGATTCACAGTCAACTAATATCTTATATTATACTGGGGTGTTATATTATACTATGGAGGCCTTCGGCTATGAAGTCATGCATTCTAGGAGCGAAACTTGAACAACGGTATCGCCACTCCACCACATCCCTGCTTTTCGTCGTGACAGAAGCCGCCACTAGTGTTCTGGGCTCAATCCAATTTTGGATTTAAACCAGAAGTTTTTTGTATCTCTGCTGGACCCAATGGTTCGCTGCAAAAGGCAAGATTGCAAACAGACTGTCATCGGTTTGACAACGATATCGGCCATCTGGCAGTGATCTTCTCAGCAGAGAACACAGACATCCAAGCAAAACAACGACCGGTATCAAATCAAAGCATCGATAGCCTCATGGACCAGCCATCACAGAACAGTGTTGATTGCTGAGTCAGGGGATGAAGAAGTGTTGTCGATACTGGAGATGAAGAAGGAATGCAATACAGCATGTTCTTCACAAAAGAGAGCCAAAATAATGCTCCTGGCGGTCCTTTGTCTTCATCATGGCCATGATGATATCAACAAGAACTCAACAGACGCCAACACAAAGAGGATCAAGTAGCAAGTTATCATGTCCCCAATAATGTGGTGGAAATCAAAGCCCTTTTCCGTCCACGGCTGATTGATATGTTTGGCAACAAAACAAGAGGATTCCAACCTTGCATAACGCCAGCAAAAGTGGGCAAAAGTGGGCAAATGTGCATGTGCTGGATGCGAAGCCGAGTCTTGTGCAAAAGAAGGACCTGGAGCGCACCGTTGCAAGTTTTGTTGCAAGTTTTGTGGTATCCCCGTCCATGCAGCGTGTTCCGTTGATAGATGATGGGTTGACAAAAGCGATGCCACCAACCCTTGCCTGGTACAGGTTTTGCAGTGAGCCATTATTGAGAAAATCTACAGCGAGGCCAGAGGTATTACATTTACATAAAAATATCTTGGTTTCTCGTGTCTCGTTTCGTTTTATTTGTTCGTTCCATCGATATTGATGTTTGATGTTTTCGTACATATTTTTGAATATATTCAATATATACCGTGCGGATCTGAAACCAGACCAGTATTCTGGTCTACGTTCAAATTAGTACGATTTCTACGTAACAAAATAAGTCCCAACTTGAATTTTATTCGTAATCCGGAGTGCCGATATACTTTTCTGCAATACCATGTGGGAACTAAAATTTCACTAGCTAGTAATCGTATGGTAGATGATTTCCAGGTACACGTACGTGTACCGGTATTGCGGAAAAGTATGATTTTGATATACGGGGGATGGCTCAAAAGTAGGTTTTTATGGGGGACGGACAAACAAGTACTTACTAAGTCTAAAACAGATGAAAACGGAACTTCAGAATCTACCATTTCGAGTTCTCAAAATCCCCCAAAGTGACTGTTGATATACAAGGAACCAAGTCAGATTCCTGTGAGTAGGATTCCGCTGTTCGTACTGGAAATCCCGTACTATTACTTGTACGTACCTTTTACCACGAAAATCTGTAGGGCCAAAAGTATGATGACTAAAATCTGTAGGGCCGGAAGTATGATCGATTTCCAAGTCTCATAAACGCTACAGCACTTCGAAGTCAGCAGAATATTTTGTGCTGAGTCGCAGCTCTAGATATTTGGAATGGATACACGCAGGGCACAGACAGAATGCAGGCTGATGGACCGATTCAACGTTGAGTTCGAGTGGTAGTGATGCAAATGCTGTTACTGTACCTGTCAGAATGAAATTTCGCAGATGTTTCGTTGGGAAGTTATAGTCCATATACAGTTCCCCACTATCAACAATCAGCCTCTTGGAATATATGTTGTTGATCTGAGACGCTTGGTGTTGCTAGCTTTTTTCACGATGGCCTCTCATGAAGATGACAAAGACGAGATGTCTGGACCCACCTGCAAAAGAATCCAAGACTGGCACGAACAGCGAAAAGAGGAGCACCATGCGAGAGAGTTTGCATTTCAGCATTGCGTTGCAGGCTTGACACTGTTTGCATCTTTTCCAGATCCAAAGCCACTTCCCTTGAAGGCGTTTATGATGGAATATTTGGGGACAGCACCACAAATGAGTAGCCTGAGCTTTACCTTTGCTTTGGAGATGCTCCATAAGGATTTCAAGAAGTACATGTATCCGCACGGCCATTAAGTCTGCAAAGACACCGAGCTGTATATATTTCTGACTTCAGTCACGACGAACTATAGTTTTGACTAATAGATCTAGTATTTTAATTATTTTTCTTTTGAATACATATTCAGCACTAGAATTTGGCAAGAAGAACTAGCGATAATATAGCAGAAAGCCAATCTAGTACAAGCCATCCCAGTCTTCTTCGTCGATTGTGATAGCAATTATCAAGATAGCTACACCTTGGAAAAATTCATTCTGTGAGACAACACCGCTTCAAACACACGTTTCAAACATCGTATTCCCCGCTTCAAACATGGTATTCCACGCTTCAAACATGACAGTCTCACGTTTCAAACATGGTATTCCCCGCTTGAAACATGGTATTCCCCGCTTGAAACATGGTATTCCCCGCTTGAAACATGACAATCTCACGTTTCAAACATGGTATTCCCCGCTTGAAACATGGTATTCCCCGCTTGAAACATGGTATTCCCCGCTTGAAACATGACAGTCTCACGTTTCAAACATGGTATTCCCCGCTTGAAACATGGTATTCCCCGCTTGAAACATGGTATTCCCCGCTTGAAACAGGATAATCCCGTCAAACATGACACTCCTTTTTTTCAAACATGATATTCCCTTTTTTCAAAAACATGATATTCCCGTTTATCTCCCTGATATCAAATAAGACATCCTCCAAGACGAAAACATCGACAACAACATCAAGCGTCTCAAATCAACAAAATCAACAAAAATCAACAAAAACCAAAATACACTAAACTAGAGCTCTATTTAATAACGAATACTTATCTGTTCTAGGAGTAGCTTCGCTTATAATCTTGGTCTGCATATCCTCACAACTGCTGGTGCAACTTCGTGGCGAAAAGATGAGCGATTGGCACCACTCCTCCTTTTGCTATGAATGAATCCAACGAGACGATTTTTGTTGGCAGCGTTGAATAGAGGGCATTATGTTGATTCCTATGCAATTCATGTGGCATCCCAAGGCTGATTGTTGACAGTAGGGAACTGCATTTCCCTTGAAACGCATGGTGATTCTTCCAGAACCGCTTTACTCTGTAGATCATTTGCACGGTCGGAGAAGGAATATGCTGCTCTGCTTCACCAATAATGAAAATATGGTAGTATCACGCTAAGGGAGAAGGAAAAGCAGCGGCTCCGTCAGCAATCTATAATCCGCTTGAACATCAACCGTCTAAACATCATTTTGTTCTTGGTGTTTTCCAAAAAAAGTACGATTTTTCGGAGAAATGACTGAAGTCTGTTGGGCCTAAAGTATGATGGGTACGTAAATACCGTATCGTACTGGGTACGTCTGTTTCGGACCGTAAACGGAATCTTCCACTGACGAACCTAGAAAGGAAACTAGGGGAGGGAGGATCGTAAAAAATAATCTCGGATATACTTCCTCCCGTTTTTTGTAAGCTGGAGAATTCCTTTCTTATTTGGACGTCCTTGTTCGTCCGTCCCCCAAACAAATCCACTTTTGAGCCATCCCCACGTTTCGTGCGGAAATGCGCGGTAATGATATATCCTTCAGTAAGTTTGTAGTGTACGCGATTTGGCAGTTATGGGAGTGAGAGACAGCCAGCAGCATTGTCAAAATCATCCAAAGGCTAAATGAAAATAATTTTCGAGTTACCGAAAATCAAAATTGTGTCCGTTTCACGAATGATCAAGGATTGAAGTGCTGGATCTGGCTGGTGCTACTGTACATCAGGATCCATTCAACGTCATACAACCCGTCATCTGTTGTGTAGTATACATCCCGTCATCTGTTGTGTAGTATAGTGGTAGTACCGGGTAGCGATTTCGGCACCAAAAGACGGAGTCCGGCTGTCAAGTCCGCGTCTGGTTCAACATTGGTCGGTTGTTTGCTCATTTGATTGTGGCCGAGTATTAACATCCTTTCCTATTTTCTGGACCACCTAGGCCTAGCTTTTTCTGCAATTGTCTGCACAATGATTAGGTCGGTTAGAAAGAAGAAGTTTTCAAGGCTACGCCGCTTGATTTCGTGCACAGTAAGTTCTTCGAGCTGGTTTCCCATGTTTCATGGTTACAAGAGAAGGCACCACTCAACCAAACGATCTCATTTGTGTTGTGTTGCTTGCAGAAAGATCGGAAGAAAAATGGAACCGATAACTGTGGGGAGACGGATTCGTCTTACGAGAATGAGAACAAAGCTCAGAACACTGCGGTGAAAGGAACACCTTCAACACCTGCAAAAGCATTGAGGGGCTCCCCGCCGTCGACACCGTCAACAATTCCTGAAACATCAACGCCGCAAAAGAATGAGAGATCAAAAGATAGTGCCTTTGTTGTCACGTACAATAACGAGCACTCGGCATCCCATGAATCGATATATGAAAACGCGCCTGAGGCTCAGTCCAGTGTCGTATTTGTCCGGAGAGATAGTTTTAACCAGCTACCCGGTGGTCCTGAAAACCCCAGCGGTATAGGACGAAGCCAAGAGATAGCAACTGCCTTGGAGATTGACCAACGTGAGCTAGTTATATCAACGGAAGATGATATCGTTTCAGTGCCGCAAGAGGACTCAACCGAGCTCGACCATGTGAGTAGACAGCTCTTTCAAAAGTTGGAAAAATCTCAGAAGGATGTTTTGGCTTCCGTTGTTTATCAAAAATCAATAAATGAACCAGGAAGTAAAAAAGACCAAAAGCCTTTGACTAAAATCCCTGACCATCCGGCTCTTGGGAATCTTGAAAAGTACCGGTCGGGGCTTGCATCTGGTACTCTACGTCGAAGCAGTTGTGCAGAGGGAGATTTGCCTAAAAGTTTCATGGGAGAAAGTGATCGTAATCTGGACAAGGGATCAGTTTCAGAAGGGTTCAAGTTGCTCTGGGACGAGACAACGAAGAATTTGGAATCGATGAACAAAGTATTTTCATCATGTGCACTTGATTGGAAGCAGGAGACGCAGGAAAGCTTTGGTGAATTTGCGTACAATGGGGAGGACGGGAGAAAGGCACCACTAAATGGGTCGTGGTTGGCATTTCCAGACGAGCATGGGGAAGATATTAGTCTGTTGTCCTATCCAAAAGACATTGCGTCCATTTCCAGTCGATGGACGGAGTCACAACTAGATGGCACACCGGTCCTTAGAAAAGAAATTGCAACGATTGTTGAAGAAGACCAACCAATACAAGAGAATTCTAAATCCCGATACAATCGGTGGCTGTGATAGACTGATTTTTTTAAGTTTGATGAACCAATAGGTAGAGATGTTCGGAAGCTGTTGTCTGGTTGCCTTCGATTTTATACTGGTTACCTTTCAATGAACGGCATTCAAATCAAATCGACCGCCAATTTCAAATTCGCCGTTGATATGATAGGTCACAGTTGGCAATGAACGGTATCAAATTATATTGTAACCAAAATTCTTGTATGAGATCGGAGCACTATCGCTTCAAAGGACGAACTCCTACAAGTGATTGTTGGAAATAGAGACATGCCATTGGATTCCTTTACTAGTACTTTGTCTCAATACAGAGAAACCTCTAGAAGTCGTCTTCTCAATATGAGTTCGATATTCATTTACCTGCAGCTCCATAATCTGAGCTCTCGGTATCATCTTCGCTATCTGTGCTGTTCTGTTTGCCAACTTCTGATATACACTCATGTTCCATGATCCTGGCCTCGTTCTTCTTGAATATCAGAAGGGCTTAATTAGAATTTCAATTCTCAAATTTATGTGCGGAACTGCTTCGGAGTGAATCAATCAATCCTCGAATACTTTTCGGCGACTTTTTGCTCGACATGCTTTAAAAAAGTATGTGTCACCCACTTCCTTGCTCGTCCTTTCTACAGTAGAGACCCACCCAAATGGCAGAGCATGATGATTGATTGATGCATTCATTCCTGTACAGTACCTGGTACAGTATCGATCCAGAGGCCACACACGCTGTTGTGCAAAACGTGAAATGCGAAAGACATGGCACTTGCCAAAGGCGAAGAGTGGCAGATTTCTGAAGCCTCAGCAAGTGAAGGGAAGAAAAAAAAGTATTGCTTCTCTTCGATTTTGCGTGTCATCCTTGCACAGGGACCATGCTAATCTTCTCTGTATTTTTAAGCGTTTGTTTGATGTTCTGGCCGAAACCAGAACACATTCGGGAGCGAAAGCACGCTATATATACACCCTCTCCAATTGTTTCTCACGAGAGAGGAAAGGATTAATAGATGTATTTTTTATTAGTAAGGGGCAAATGACATCAGACGAACTCTGATAGCGTATTTGATGTTTCAGGCCAAAGCCAGAACGCTGTCACAGGGAGGTTGCTCCTTTATATTATTCACACTGTATCCGTTTTATAAAACCCCTGGTACGACAAACCAGATTGTTCTATTGAACGCGTCATTTCACGCCAAACTGACGATCGAGCAAGACGTCAAAGGTTTCGTTGCTTTACTGATGGCATTCGACTTCACAACTAGAAGAGAACTAGAAGTAAGGAAGGCGTATCCAACTGGTAACTTTACGGTGTAACTAGTTTCACCAAACCAGGTGTACCTTTAGCGACGTTTAGCGTGATTCCAAATTTTCTATTCTGTTGAAAGCGCGCTATTCTGAATCGGTCGGAATTCAATTGGGGGGTGGTCACTGATGGTCCACATCTAATCCGTTACTCGTCATAACTATTACAGACGTTGAATCCTTGATCCATCCGTACCTGTCACAAAAATCATGCTAAGAAAGGCAACATCGATTGGGTTATTCTCTTCACGAAACGTGACACATGCCGCTGGTTTGACTGTGCCGTCTTTCGGTTTTCGTCCTCAGGAATGGTCACAGGCATCCAGCACTGGAGCAGTGCGTCATCGCAGCAATCGATCAAAACGAGGTCTCTACGATGGCAAAGACATTCGATCTGGAAACAACGTTTCTTTTAGTATGAAATCGACAAAGCGAAAGTTCAAGCCAAATGTCTTTACCAAGAAAGTATATTCTGAGATTCTTGATGAAATGATCAAGTTTCATCTGACAACCTCCACACTCCGTTCGATTGACAATGCTGGCGGGTTAGACAACTATCTATTGACAAGCAAACACGTTACTTCGGGAGAGGGTCTAGTGGCGAAGAAAAGAATCGTGTCTCGGCTAAAATTGAATGAGAAAATGGAGAAGTGGAAGCTAGAAGATTCTGACTCAGTTGAGTCTCAAGAACAGTCAATTTAAGACACTTAAAATCTGTTTTCATTGCTTTTAAGCATAGTATGAAAGTGATCGGTGGTTTTGTTCCAAGTATCCATGCTATCAATTCTAGAATCAACCGAAAGCTTTGGAGAACACCTGTGAAGGAGCGAGCATGAGCGTACTTTTAAAAATATATATGTTGACCTTGTGCCATTCAACTCATTTGTTCTAAATATACAAGCAACGATACAAGGTATCGGTACTTCGAAAATAGAAAAGATTATGATTTTGACTTGGTGTTTCTTGCTGAGAAGATCAATAGCTATTAAGTAATCTTTGCAACACTTTCAACGGTCTAAGGAGAAACAATCAGCATTACTTTGAGGATTTTTATTCGTAGTGGAAGCCATTCATCCCAGACTACAAGTTTGATTGAAAGAATAGTCCTTTCAGAAGTTCGCTCGTAGGTCGTTTTGAGGAGACTCAGCTATGCCAGATACGCTATCGGCCATTTTATACACAAAACAGTCTTTTCATGCGGCGGTTCGAGAGAAGCTACCAAATTTTCCACCATGATCTCCCCCATTCCTTTGAGTTCGAGAGTGTCCTATCGGTCTGTTTTGGAGCTTCGCCCTCGTCAATTGGAACCAACGTCTTGGATTCTGGTTCAACATAATTCCCTCGAATCCCCAATATGGATTGAGAGTTCTTCTTGACGACGTCTTCGACTGCATTCAGTCTTTCGTCAAGAGCATTCAGCTTCGCTTGAAGCTTCTCGCTTTTTTTTCTCGCTGATTCGTTAGACCTCCTGTATTCCCAAACAACGAGGTTCCCGCTGACGAAAAAAATGAACGCCTCGCCAACAAACTCGGCGCCATCCTGCAACGCCTTCTCCGGTTCAAGAGCACTGATCTTCTTAACTCTATATCCAGCACTCCAAATCTGCATCCTTGAGGTGACTGAGTGTGATGTCTGCCCAATCCCTATCAACATGGCCTTAGTTGTGTTGTTCTTAGAGAATTGAGTCTTGATTCGTTTTGACAGTGGCTTTGCCAGAGTCTTGACAAGAAGACTTGCTAATTTTGTTAACGGAAGAGCTGACATCAGGACCAGTGATTACTAACACTATGGCGCCAGCTCCTTCGCGATGTTGGCAATCGAAGGCAAACACGAGATATGGAAATGAGAAGGAAAAAAGAGCTAAATGAGTACAATTCACTCTTTTCAATTTTTTAAAACTGGAAGGGCTTCTAAACTGCTTTCAACCTTCTTTGCTTGATCTTCAAGCTCAGCAAGCTCCGCCTTTGCTTTGTCAACGACAGTTAGAGGGGCTTTATCGACAAAGCCCTTGGACTGCAGTCTACCAGAGAGCTTTTTTATTTCACTTTCCAGTTTTTCTTGCTGCTTTTGCAGTCTCTTTCTTTCCTTCTCGGGATCGATGAGCCCAGAGAGTGGCAAAAATGCCTCCACGCCATCTTGAACAACAAGTTGAACAGAGTCTTCCGACACAGCAGCCTTTGCTTCGTCACTTCCCGCTTCACAGACACTGACGCTCTCTGGATCCAACTTTGCCAATGCAACAAGAGACTTCAATTCCTTTTCTAGTTCAGCCTTCAAATCACCTGAGGCAACAACGACAGCGCTAATGCGCTTCCCTGGTTCGACATTGTACTCAGCGCGGGCATTACGAATACTTCTGGTAAGAGCCTGGAAACACTCGAAGGAACTAACAGCTTCTTGACTCGTCACCAAGGGGTTGTTGTCATCCATCTGTGGCCAGTCTGAAAGCATAAGAGCGTGCGCTGCTTGTTCATCCGAAGCAGATGACCGTGGGAGATGGTGCCAAAGCTGCTCGGTCACATACGGCATGTACGGATGCAACAAGCGAAGACTTGTATCAAGAATGTAAACTAGAACACGGCGCGCTGCCTTGGCTTCGTCTTCGTCGCCACCACCAAGGCCTTCGTATAGTCGTGTTTTCGAAATTTCGATATACCAATCGGCGTACTGATCCCATAAAAACTCATATACCTTACTTCCTGCAGCACCAAGCTGATAATTCTCAATGTCAGCAGTGACTGATTTCACCAAGTCATGACATTTGGATATAATGTATCTTTCTGGAAGTGAAAGACTCTGAAATTCATCTTCTGTGATGGGCCCTGAAACTCCTAGTTCATTCAGTTCGGCCTTCTCAACATCCTTTAAGGCATTGCCAGTCACAAATTTACAGCAGTTCCAGAGCTTGTTCGCAAAATTTCGGTTCGCTTCAATCTTTTCCATGTTCAGAGGAATGTCCTATGGTCACACCTTTGTTAGGAATGACGGAAGATTGTAAGAAATGTTTTGGCTCGAAGCTTACCTGGCCAGGAGTTACACCTGTAACTAGAGAATAACGGAGACTATCTGCGCCAAATTTTGCCACAGTATCCAACGGATCGAGAACATTTCCCTTCGTCTTTGACATTTTGCTTCCATCGGCAGCCCGCACTAGACCATGCAAGTAAACCACGCTAAACGGGCTCTTGCCAGTCAATTCAATACCCATCATTACCATGCGAGCAACCCAGAAAAATAGAATATCGTATCCTGTCTCCAAACATGTACCAGGGTAGAAGCGTGATAAGTCCGAACCCTCTACACCCTCTGATGCTGGCCACCCAACTGTAGCAAAAGGCCAGAGTCCAGAACTGAACCAAGTATCCAAGACATCTTCCTCTTGCCGCAGAACAACATCATCCGAAAATCCCTGCTCGATAGCCTTCTCGCGAGCTTCTGCCTCATTGCGGGCCACGATGTAGTCTGATTCCCCTGATTCGCCAACGTACCAGACAGGGATTCGGTGTCCCCACCAAAGTTGACGAGAAATACACCAATCGTGGATATCGGTAAGCCAATTGTTCCAAATCTTGTCAAAGCGCTGAGGAACAATTTTGATATCACCACTCTCGACAGCCTTTAGCGCTTTTGCCCCCATTCCTTCCGTCTTGACAAACCATTGACTGCTTACGAGGGGTTCAATCACCTCCCCACCACGTTGCGATCTGGGTACTCGTTGCATGTGGGGGTCGACCTTGATTGTAAGTGTCAACTCCTCCATATCTTGCCACAGCTTTTCACGAGCTTCAAAGCGATCCAAACCGTTGTAGATTCCGGCATTTGCATTCAAACTTCCATCCTTGTTCATGATATTGATGATCGGGAGGTCATACTTCTTTCCGATGGCGTAGTCATTGGGATCATGACCAGGAGTAATCTTCAGCGCACCAGTTCCAAACTCCATATCCACGTAGTCATCGGCAATAATCGGAATAGTGCGTCCGTCTCCCATTGGAACAAGAGCTTTCTTTCCAACAAAATCTTGATAGCGCTTATCATCAGGGTGTACGCAAACCGCTGTATCGCCCATGATTGTCTCTGGTCGAGTAGTGGCGACAGGCAAATAATCTTCCAAAGCCATGTATGAGAAAAAGAGATCCAAAGATTCGTTTGACACGGTCACCCTTAATCTTACCATCACTTCCTTCCACCATGTATTTGAAGTAGTACAGTTTACCCTCTTCTTCGGAGTATTCGACTTCGAGGTCACTGACTGCTGTTTTCAATAGGGGCGCCCAATTCACCATATACTCGCCTCTGTAAACCAGGCCTTTCTCATGAAGCCGAACAAAAGCCTCCGTGACAGCTATGCTCAAGTCGGAATCCATTGTAAATCGTTCTCTAGTCCAATCTGCGGAGGCCCCAAGCGAACGCAACTGCTTCGTTATGTGTCCACCTTGTTCTGTTTTATACTCCCATACTCGTTCTAAGAATTTTTCGCGACCTACGTCTTCTCTCGTTGTTCCCTCGGCAATTAAAAGCTTTTCAACTTGCAGTTGGGTGGCAATCCCGGCATGGTCCGTCCCTATCGAGAAAAGGATTAGCATATGCACCGTACAAGAAAAGCAGGGGCAAAACATGTATGTGGTACGCACCAGGCAACCAAAGTACAGGGCGGCCTCTCATGCGGTGGAATCTGGCCAAAACATCTTGCAAAGCAACGAAAATGGCATGACCCATATGCAAACGCCCAGTGACGTTTGGCGGAGGCATTGGTAATACATAAGGCTCCTTTTCGCCATTGGGCTTTTGTTTGGCATCTGGCTGAAAACATCCAGAATTTTCCCACCAGGAATAAATCTCCTTTTCGAATTCATTGGGAGCGTATGAATCAAGCCCCTTCTCTTTGTTCAAAAGATCATAATCCTTGTTAGCGGTTGACAACGCCAAACGGGACGGCCCTTGCCTCATTCTGGACGACGGGAGTGTCGCTTTGATCGACACAGCTGCACGATTTGCAAATGATGGCGACTTGAATGCCTGGTTTCGGACAAAGGCTCCCCGTGCGGTGGGTGCGAATGATGTCGACAAACACAGCCAGGCCGTCACCATCGTTTTGGATCCAAAAGCTGAAGCCTTGTTCTTTTTCCCGCAACTTATCAGCTGACTCGGCATATCAGGGTTCGGTAGCTTCAGGAAATGAATCAAGACCTACGGATCGAAGCTTTGTCCGGTCCTGCGATCGGTACAAGTATTTTGTACTTGTATTGATTTGTGATGATGGATGCTTCTTGTAACAACACATCACCATCATTTCAACATCGCACAAACGTCAGACAACCAATCCACAGTAACAGTAGGACAGACGACAATTCAAATTTCTCCAGTACACGTGTACGTGTACCAGGTACAATACGAGTACGACATTGTGATCCTATCATGCATCATGTCACATGTGACAAATCCATGTTCATTTTTCGGTCAGACTGTCACAACACAGCTTCACTGTCGGCCTCGCAACAATGTCGAATAAGCGGCCCACAGAGCCTACTTTTCGATGGTACCTCTTGATTTCAATTGCAATTTTACTCGTGAAATTTACGCACTCTGAGATACCAGTGTCAAAGTCACACAGATGGAAGTCGAGAATGAGTAGCATCATTGTAGATTTCGGGGCGGTGACGAGAAATTTGAAGAAGCGATTACGGAGATCGATTATTCCAAGTCACCTTGATCTTCCAGTCTATTCCAGGACAACGATGGTAGTCAAACGGACCCTGATGGAATTCCATCTCCATATCTTGTGATGCAGAAGAATCGACGTGACCGGGCAAAAAAGATATGTGAAGCGACCTTGTAATGGAGGGAGGAAAACTATATCTACACAATACTGGCACGGCCGCATCCAAACTTTGATGTTTGCAAACGAATATTTCTTTTTGCTTTTGTGATAGAGACGACTCGGACCGCCATATATTGCTACAAAGGCCTGGTATCATCGATTCGGTGCTGGTAGAGAAAAACAAAATCTCTCCAGACGTTGTTCAACCGTAAAAATTTCTCAAGTCATCTTGACCTCATCTGAAACGCTACCTAACCGCGACCATTCCTTCCTTTATAGATTATGTCTATGCTATGGAGCATCTTTGGCAACTGCTCGAACCCGAGTCAGATGCTTTGATGACATCCACTATCGACCTTGCTGGTCTTAGCTTTTCGGTTCTATGCAGGCGTGAATTACTCAAGTTCATTCAAAAGTTCTGCAGCATCATGGACAATCATTTCCCGCAACGAGCGCATCACACACTACTCATAAATTCGCCAAAGGTGAGTGGTCTGCACTTCACTCCAAGTACAGTCCATTCGTATTACCGCCAAAATTGACGAGTTCGTCAAAGTGGTTCAATGCGCTTTATAAAATCTTATCACCTATTTTGCGCGAGTCGACAAGACAGAAAATAACCATCCTTTCAGACGGACAAAATTCAGACAAAGTTCTAGAGTCTCTATGTCCAGGATATACAAGTGAATCGAGCCAACCCCTTCATGATATGATGGATACTGACATCGCAGACAACTTTCGGAGTTTTGTAAGTTGAAATTGAGACCGATTGCCAAGTTCTTCCAGAGAATCTTTACTGATAGCTCTCTTTCTCTCTGATAGTGCCTTGCTCGTTTAGAAGAATCGAAGATGCGGATGAAAAAATTGATCTGCTAGAAGGAACGAGAATACTGAAAACGAAAGTAGTACTTTCCGGTGTTTTCATTAGGAATAGAAATCTTTGTTTTTAGTCCTAGAACCAAAGTGGTTACCTTCCAATCCACCGAAATTAGTCTATAATAGCAAGAGACAAAGGATGACAAATGAAGTCAGAATGATCAAAAGACGCGAAAGATACTCGGTTGCATTGGGGTGTGCATCTAACTCTGCTACATCCCCAATTCTTCTGTGAAGTGGAGGCACAGACGAAGACGTAGCTTGTTGAAAAGTCAGCATAATGCCATGGCTTAAGGATGCCCGATGACTGTTTGGAGACTGCGTCACCATGAGGTTGTTGTTACGTCTTGAATCGTGGTTCGGTGATTGTGGCAATGGGGACGATGCAGCTGGTCGTGACGGCACCAGTCTTTGTCTCAATCCCAAATTTGGATCGTCGGGTAGAGATGGAGAAGTCCTTCCATCGCCTTCTACGCTGACGCGATGTATTGGATCAGTAGTCGATGATCGATTTTGTACTGAGATTTTCGACGTCAAGTTTTCTGGTATGGTCACTTCTTGCCCTCTTGAAGTTATTTGTATCGATTCATCGGATCGGACATATATGGGTACTAATGTGCGTGTGGAACAAGGTGATTTACATACAGGACACATGCAGCGGCTGCTGTTTGTAGGAGCTGTTGGTAAAAGTCCTAGTGAGGCTCGTTCATCTGGTAGCATGCCAGGTTCCAGCCATCGAAATAAGCAGGGCCAACAAAATAAGTGCCCACAGCGAGGCACTACAGGCTCAACTACAGCATCAAAGCAAATATTGCAAGTGAATCTCGCGTCTTGATGACACTTTTGAGAATCAGATGACATGTCAGGAACATCAACCTTTTGCTTTTGGCCAAGTTTCTGCCTGCGGTTTCAGTAAATGCATGAATGTGTGGTTCGTTTGTCACAGAAGGCACTTTATATGTACCTTTGCCAACTTTTGTGACTGTTGACCGGTTCGTACCAGGTGTAGTCACGTACTGCTGCAGCTCAGCCTCAAAACCTACACCTCCCTGTGACAGCGTTCTGGCTTTGGCCTGAAACATCAAATACGCTATCAGAGTTCGTCTGATGTCATTTGCCCCTTACTAATAAAAAATACATCTTCTATTAATCCTTTCCTCTCTCGTGAGAAACAATTGGAGAGGGTGTATATATAGCGTGCTTTCGCTCCCGAATGTGTTCTGGTTTCGGCCAGAACATCAAACAAACGCTTAAAAATACAGAGAAGATTAGCATGGTCCCTGTGCAAGGATGACACGCAAAATCGAAGAGAAGCAATACTTTTTTTTCTTCCCTTCACTTGCTGAGGCTTCAGAAATCTGCCACTCTTCGCCTTTGGCAAGTGCCATGTCTTTCGCATTTCACGTTTTGCACAACAGCGTGTGTGGCCTCTGGATCGATACTGTACCAGGTACTGTACAGGAATGAATGCATCAATCAATCATCATGCTCTGCCATTTGGGTGGGTCTCTACTGTAGAAAGGACGAGCAAGGAAGTGGGTGACACATACTTTTTTAAAGCATGTCGAGCAAAAAGTCGCCGAAAAGTATTCGAGGATTGATTGATTCACTCCGAAGCAGTTCCGCACATAAATTTGAGAATTGAAATTCTAATTAAGCCCTTCTGATATTCAAGAAGAACGAGGCCAGGATCATGGAACATGAGTGTATATCAGAAGTTGGCAAACAGAACAGCACAGATAGCGAAGATGATACCGAGAGCTCAGATTATGAAGCTGCAGTTAAATGAACATCGAACTCATATTGAGAAGACGACGTCTAGAGGTTTCTCTGTATTGAGACAAAGGACTAGAAAAGGAATCCAATGGCATGTCCGATGTGGAGGTTTTCAATCCTACCAAAGACAGCATATTATCAGCAACTTGTTGCGAGGACTTTTATCCGAGTCGTCTTGAGCATTGAAACCAGTTGGGACGAGGATGAGTGGACAGATTCCAAGTTTCTCAATTGGAGGAGCAGATTCCTAGAAGTTGAACTCAAGAGCGCTTACTGCGTTACGGTGTAAACAGCATCAATCTTCAAGTGACCAGACCATATTTCTTCAAGGCCTTAAGCGTAATGAGTGACAACCAGTAAGTAGCAGTTGCGAATGGCGAACCTTCATAACAGGAGTTACAGTATGTTGAATAACTTGCAGCAGGAGCAGAACACGAAATCTATCTGACATGTCTTCCGTTGTGGGCGGTATATAACATTGCAGTGGCCCATGGCTTGAGGAGCTTCAAAGGCAAGCACATCCATTTCTTGTGTGAAAAACAAGGGCATGGTATAAAGATTCAATCAAGCTATTGATCATGTAAGGATAAGTCAAATATGGTTACGAGTTACGAGTCTCAGAAAAAGTGTTTTTTCTGAAGGATACTCGGAGTCTGTGAAGGTAGTTGGACAGAATCAATAAGCTCACCAAGCACCTTCAGCGCCTCTGATCTATCGAATGTTTCACGTCGCTCATACTTTCGGATGCTCTTGGTCTTCATTTTTGAATCTTTAGAAGCAGACCGAGCTCTACGCAATGACAGCTTGTAGATTCCTTTCAGACGTTTCAGGTGCTCATGCATTCCACAAAAATCCTTGACGTCATCATGAGCAAAAATTATTCTCTGCAAGAGAGATACGGAGAGGCAGAAGATCCCGTCTTTGTCACGGAACATCTGCACTTTGTCAAGGAAGACTTCTGCAGATTTACAATCAGCAAATCCAGTCAAAAGTGAAGTGTGTTGGCCAACATTCTCGAGGGTCAGAAGAATCCAGTGCACCAACTCCACGTGGGGCAAGCTGCGGTTGCATGCTCGAATTAAGTCAAGCAGAATCTTCGCCGCATTTGCATTCGTAAAAACCTCGCAACATTTTTCTGAAAACCGCGTCGCTGACTCAAGGGTTTTCACTGCATCCATTATTTCTGCTAGGCTTGTGCTTGCTTGCAGAATTGCTAAGGCAATGCTTGTTCTGCAACCCAGGCTTTGCGTCGGGTCATCTTGAGCCCGCTTGTTTGCACGATGAACTCTATGAGCTACGTTGGTAATCACCTTTGTCCTTTTTTGCCTTGTGACACGAGCTCGAAACGCAGCTTGCAAGCGAACTGTGGCTCGCGTGAGCATATTTGCTCGCCACCGCGCCAAGTATTCACGGAAGCAAACCTGAATTGTTCTCGCGGCCCCTGACATTCTCCGTTTACAGACATGTGTTCGATACTGTTTTTGAATGACAGAAGCCTTGCAGTTACGATTGAGTTGTAACCTCTCATAGGTCTTCTCTACAACGTATCTGCGTACGCAGGACTGTATTTTGAGTGTGGAATGAAGCATGCATGTAAACTCAACATTCTGATCGAAACCACGCCAAATTCTTTGAATTTCAGTTGCAGCATAATGCTCAATTTCAACATTTAATCTCGTACACAACCCTCTTGTCATTCGTTGCACCTCCACAGCAGCCCATTTCTGGACACCAAATATGCTGCGACCTAAGTACGATCGATATGCAGCTTGTATTTTAGTGGCAGCTTCTCTCAACTTCCGCACGTGGTCCCTTACTGCGTATCCTCGAGTATAGGATTGTATCTTCAACACACAATGATACTTTTTTTCGTATGTCTTCATTACAAGATACCTTCGTACCTGGGCTTGCATCGAAAGCACCGACATCACTTGCACAAGAAAATCAATATGAGTAACAAAGCAACGCCATGTCTTTTGAATCTTCCTCGCTGCAATATGTCTGGATACTCTTTTGCGGGTCACATACCCCCTCCATAACGACTGTATCTGACTACTGCTGTGACTTTTTCGATAGGAAAGGGACCGCTCCCTTCTGCGACTGTGAAGTTGTCGTCTAGCGACAACCAAGCGAGCAAAGCTCTGCATGATAATGACAGCTGAAAACGTCCCTGCAAGGTTTCTGACTGCTATCGATCTGCGTGCGAGACTTTGGGCAATTATTACGCCTCGCTGTTGGTCCATGAATGTTTTTGTAGCTGCGAAACCACGAAATGTAGATTGAATTTGGACCGCTGCAATATGTTGAGAATGGATATGTTCCCGTGACTTGTATCCTCGGTAGACTGATTGGAGCTTGCATACCATTGCATTCTGTGATTCCTGAATCTTCATTTCTCTTCGACGGACAAAAACAACTTTTTGGCTTGCTCTCTTGCGGGCAACAGACTGTATCTTCATTGCAGCACACTCCCGCTTCATTAGCATTTGCTTTACGAGCCATCGACGTCCCATGCTCTGGATTGTGATTACGTCGACTACATCAACGCTATAGCATACCCTAGCCACGAATCCACGGAACGCTGCCTGTATGATGGAAGCTTGAGTGTGATATATTGATAGGCTAGATCTGACTGCAATGCCACGGACACGAGATTGCACTTTCAAGGCTGCAAGATATTGCCTCTTTCGCGTATGAAGGACACAAAAGCGACGAACCACACTTTGCGCTGTGATCACATCCCCGACAAGTGCTCTGTATCTGATGCATGCTGCGAAGCACCTCCATTGCGATTGTATGACGACTGCATTCATGTGATCGTGTACAAACCTAGTTCGACATTGAGACGATCGAAAAACTGACTGCAATGTAAGTATTCCATTCCGAAAGCTTTGGTATCTACATTGAGCTGCTTGGCTTCTCCACCATGTCTGCAAAACAACAGAAATACTTATATACTTCTGATAGCTCCTCTGCTGCAGCCATCGACGCGACAAAGCCTAAGATGAATCCAATTGAGTTTCGTGACCCATTGAAGCACAATGCCCGAAAGATATTGAAACAACATACCTGAATGGAGACCATCGCTTTGTGATATACCATATGCTCAAGCTGCACTCTCTGAAGTCTTCCCAGTTCCTGCACAGCCAGAAAGGATCTTGACGCATGCTGTATCTTATGAATTGAAAGTCTACGATGATTTGCAGCTCTCTTCGCCAGATATCTTCGGACTGCGCCCTGAACAAAAATTATCTCGAGAACATCTAAGGTAAATTCTCTTTTCGCAAAAAATGAACGCCAAGAGCTTTGGATGACCGTCGATGCAAAATGTTCTTTCTCTAGAGCAACTCTTGCACTGAAACCACGCCAGTACCTTTGTATGGACTCAACAGCAGCAAATGAATGACGAATCACCAGTGTGATAGAATGTGCTCTCCATGTTTTCTGAATCACAATTGCCGACACATTGATCCGCATATTCCATGTATGATCCCTCCAAACAGACTGAATTCTGGCAGCGCTCTGATTCCATGAAAATATTTTCCGGCGGACATTTAAGCCTCGCAAAAGAGCTTGACACGAGACTACTGTCGATCTTAAAAGACAGTAGGAGACAGTCTGAGTATATTTCCTCCACTGACTCTGAATGATTGACGCAGCAATATATTTGTGTCGCAAGGTAGCCGATCTGCCAAGGGACAGCCAAGAACGAATAGCGCATTGACAGGTTATTGCAGCTTCCACGTAACGGAAATGGATCTTTAGACGCATCCTTGCTAACCAACACCTTGCTACGCTCTGTATTTTTGCTAGAGCATTCGTCATGGCACAGCGCCGTTTTAAAGCGAGACTTCTCCTGGCAAGGCTTTGAATTGTTATAATGTCCAGTATGATCGTTTGAAACTCAACATGAAGAGAAAAGCCTCGCCAGGCACTTTGAATTGCAATGGCAGCTCGATCGTTTGCCTCTTCCTCCTCGAGAATTCTTCGCACAAGTTCCGATCTTGCAAGCGAACCTCGCCATAAACTTTGTATAGCGGTTGCCGCCCACCGAACTTGCCAATTTTGAACAAAGTTCCACCATGCCTTTTGTAAGATTGACGCAGCGATCTCCTGCCGCTTTATCTGTCTCCTTGCTAAATCACCTCTTGCATATCTCTGGATCGTCCGCACAGCATTTATTTGACGCGCATATATATAAAGGCTCGCAAATCTTCTCCATATGGATTGCACAAGAGTGGCTGAGTTGCGTTGCAAGCGTAGTTGTTTTGTCCGGCGTACAACTAGAAATCTTTGATAGCCCACTTGAATCATGATAGCAGCACTCTGTTTCCTAAGCAATTGACTATGTAGTTTTCTTCCTTGCGTGCCTCGAAAGACACGCTGAACAGAAGTCGAGGAATCAGTCAGACTGTGGGTGGCATAAAACAACAATCACAATATCCAAACCTACCTGGATAATCCGTACTGCGGAAAGCATCCCCTCTTTTCGCTCTCTCGCTTTCTTCAGCCGAAGTAAGCTTTCCCAGTTTGCAAGAGCAAAAGACTCAACCATTGCAACAGATTGGGAGTACCGTCTTCTTTGCGAGTCGAAATACTTGTCCTTGTAGCGTTTCCAAACCCAAAAAATTGTCAATGCAGCTTCTCGCTTCCGTTCAAGGAGCATCTTTTGATTGTACTTTCGGTAGCATTGTTGGATCAAGATCGAAGCAAAAATTTCAGTGCTGGACTCCATCAGACGGGAACAAAGATATGTTAAGCATAGCAACATGGACTCTTCATCAGGGGGGTTCATTGAATCACAATACGGGAGCATCTTTGGAATCCCACCTAAGTCTGATGCTCTTTGTGATGCCAAGATGGAATTCATTCTTTCGTTACGCATAGCACTTTCTGAGGAGAGATTCTCATTATCAAGCGATGTAGGCATAATTTCATCCAGTCGAATGACACTAGGATGGTAGTAGTGGATGAGATAGCAAAGAGCTCTACCATCAGCAAAAGAAGTTGTGAAGTTTAGCAGCTTCAACCCAAAAGTGGAGCACACCGCCTGTGACCATCGAAGCAACAGACTCGCCAATACCTCTTTCGGGTCTGTACCAACCAAACAAACGTTCTGTCCTGCTTTTTCGTTCTGACGAAACAAAAGCTGACCTTGGATCTTTCGCCTGGCTAGGTTAGTGCGCAGAACATTTTCGATTTCTCTTTCCACCAAGTCATCCTTTAGTAGCTTCCCCATACAGCTATGGGCAATGATTGACCACATGACCTTAAGCACCATTTCGCGATGGCCATCAACAATATGATGAGCATCGACATCCTTTGGAACAATTACACCACGTTTTCGAAGTGAAACGAGCGCCAAATTCAAGTTATGTAGCTTCTGCAAGCGAGAAATTGGTGGAAGTCGCAGCTTGCACATAAGTGATTTCGCAGGCTGTGCCGTTGCGATTTCTGTAAGTCGAGTCAGACAAGTACCATCTCGTAGATCAGTCGCTAGATTGCGAACTCCGAGGTCCAGCTCATCTACAGGATCTTGCTTGTAGGTAACCTTCAGCCCAATTCTGGATAAATGTTTGATGAAGTCCCCTTCCGAGGACAGGCAAATCCTACAGAGTGCAAGCAAAACTTCTCTTGAAGACTTTACTTGGGAGCCCCTTACGAACAAACGAGGCACCTTGTCCAAAATGTTACACTTTTTTGCTTGATCGAGAAAGAAGATTAACAACATTATGCGATACAGCACAAGACTTCTCATCTCTGCGCGAAATTGCTTCTCAAAACGTCCAGAAGGAATCTTGCACTTCCCTTTGGTGTATTTTTTCAACACTGCTGTGTCAGATAAGATTCGGTTGACTATGAACTTTCCAAGAGACGGCCGTATTTGGCTAGGTTGCGCCTGAGACGGAGTGAACAAAACGTAAGGCACAGGCCCATTCTTGGTATTCCATAGGAAAGGAACAAGGCACAAGTCTTACCTTCATGGACTCTTTGGGAGCATTTCCTACTTCGATAGATTCCCCATACATTACTTCAAGACCAAGACGAAGCCAAGGCGCTGAGTACGACTGCAACAATGTGGTGACTTGGCGTCGCAACGTCAAATCGTAGTATAGATCTCGGTCTGATCGAATGGAGAGACGCCCTTTGCCAATCTCATCGTGAATTGTAGCCTTTAGTTTTTCCATCTGATCCCCATAGAACACCCCCGATGCTTTCATGCGTAATTGCGACTGCCGACGATGAACAAGCAGCATTCTCAAACCGGCACAGCTTGGTGATCTTCCACTTTCATCCAGTTCTTTCTCTTCATCAGCTTCTCCTGAAGATATGGTGTAGTTTATCCATTTGACGAATGTATTGGATTGCTTTTCTGCCCAATCATTCACGTGGCTTTCACTGCATGACTTGGAAGATACCAATGGGTTTACATTATCAAATGTAGCCCCATGTTTGGGGGTGGCCATTGCGGCATATTTTCCCGACATTCTATCAATTGTGTCAGTCTTTGCAACTCGCGAAGAGGTTCTCTTCATTCTTGGCCTGCCAATTTCTTCTGTCGCCTTCTTTCGACAATCGAGTGTTGACGACCGAGGAATGCGGCTTTGATCGACGTGTGAAGGCATGGAGTGGTTCTGGCGAGGCCTATTTCGTTGCGCATTTCTGGAAACTCGAGTATTCGTGGTCTCAACGAGTACTCGTCCGTTTTGCGCCTTCTCGCCAATGATCTGATGATCTCTTCCTCCTGTACTTTTTCTTTGTCCACCGGTAGAGGCCGATAGAGTAAATGAATGCCCCAAGGTGCGTGACGCCAAACAGTCAGATTGAGATTTCAAGAAATTCTTCGACGCGCTTCCAGTTGGATTCGATTTCTTGATGCTCCTTGACTCGGCACCATCACCAGTCTTTGTCATGTTTTTGGGAGACTTCTTCGACGAGTGTCGCAAACGCTCCACCAAATGAGGCGGCGGTGATCTCTTGGTCTTTGATACCGAAAATAGATGCGTGAAATCCATCAGCCCACTTCCATTCGTCTTGGCGTCTGCGTTGATCTCTTTCTCTTCTACCTCTGCACTACCGTCATGATACTGCGTAACGACAGTTGACACGCTTTCCGTTGGAGGTTGAGTCTCTCTGGTTGACGACTCTTTCGTTACAGACTTCGCCTTCGGAACTGGTCTCTTTTGCCTGTCTACGGACTTGGTTCCATCCACGGAGGAATCGTTTGAAGATCTGATGGACCGATGCTTAAGCCGATGAAGCAAGTGAGTTGGAGGTCCTGTCGCAGCTTTCTTCGAACTTGAAAACATATGTGAATAATCCATGAGACCTGTCTCTCGTTCGGTTGAATTCTCTCTGGGAGTGTAGATATCGCTTAGTTGCTCGATTTCTACTTTTTCCGTTGCATTTTGGTTGATGGATGAATCTTCTTTAGTTAAATGACGGACATCAGTACTTCGTAGAAGAAGAGCCTTCATATCGTTTGGCGTCTTGAGTTGTGGAGAAGTCTTGAATAAATTTGTACGCACAACAGGAGTATCACAGACATCATTTGTCGAAGCAACGGTCTCGGCGTCTTGGAGACTAAACCATGGACTCTTGGTATCCGATGCCGAATCGGCAGAAGAAACTGGAGATGAAGGTTTCCTGTTGCTCAGTTTCTTCACCGTCGAGATTGCTAACTTTCTTGGTTGCAATGGGGGCGAAAAGAACGGCGATTTGTCATCCATCTTTTGATCTCTCCCTTCCTTGAATTTTCTTGCAGAAAGTGTTTCGTGTATTTGAGTGGCAACGTGGGGAGAAACCACCACTAACCTAGTGCTGTTTGTTTCTAGACGATTCCACAGAGCGTCAGGTGGTGGCGAAACAAGAAAGCTTTCCTCTTCCATGGAATCATCCTCCTCCATTTCACTCCGAAGAAGGGATTTAGGAGTCTTCGGTACTACACGCTGAGGTGGACCGAGAGCCGTGGAAATAATTTTGCCAGTAGATCCATTCGTTGCGTATCGTGACCGCAAGACCCCGCCAGACGGAGATCCAAGACGTCGTCCAGCAAGCAGCCTTGAGCCGCCACCGTTTCCTCTCAAACTTTGACGAAAAGATTGTACACTTGTGGGTACTGATAAACTGTTTTGATTTTCTTTCGACTTTGCAAACGCCACACTTTTCGTAGCGCTCTTGGTTGGGTTTGTCGAAGTCGCTCCTTGTTCGTAGGCTTCTTTGCTAGAAGTGGTCTTGAGGGACTGTCGAAATGCTTGCATCGGAGTCTGACGGTTGTGAGGAGTCAAGGGTTTGCGGGAGCGAAGTGTTCCATGTCCACCAGGAGTACGGTCATTGATATCGGCATCTCTGTAGATTTCCATCTTGAGAAATCGGTGCGGTGTATTCCTCTTCGAATCGAAGAGTAACGGTCAATTTTCCTATTTATATGTGTACTATGGATTCTGTGTCTTCGTCGAGTTCAGAAATGAAAGTGGGCAAACGATGTGCCTTCGTTCTCTTTCAACACACACGGATCGCGCGAAAAGTTGAATTTCAAACTTTTATTCAAATTTATTCATGTATGAGTATAGCATTCAAAATCAATTGTACGTACGCGAATCCTTCAAAATCAAAGCATTTGATCGACAAAGCATCACCACAACAAGCCAAAGCTGTTCACCATACGAGATTTGTTCGATACCGGTACCAGAACAACATGCCGGAAACGAAATTATTCTCTTCTCCTCTAAGCTACTCCTGTTCAGCATCTTCAACACAGAGACCAAAGTCACCTCCACCACCTCCGTCTACCCAAAAGAGGGACGAGAGCGGCATGCAGACACCATCTATTCTGTGGCGAGCATCAGAGATTGGATCACCACAACCACAAAATGGTGACATTCAACAGTTGCTTCACTACATCGACAATCTTTCGTTTTCGTCGGAAGCGATCGACAATGAACACTCTCTATATGTCCCAGAACAAGAAAATAAGTTGGCAAAACATGAGAACACCTCCTTTCAGAGTCCAAAGGCTTCTGTATTGCAGAATCGTTCCACGAATCATTCGAAGAAACATAATTCATACCATGATGTTATTGTCAAGGCACAAAGGTTCCCTGATTTAACGCCTATTCGAAGTAAACCGAGCCCCTTACGTTCGCCTCCCTCCGCGAAAAGCAGCTGCCGATTGGATCCAGTAGGTGCCACCCCGCTAAAGGCAAAGGAAAACCTACTTAACGAAGCCAGCCGTTATATCTACACTCGAGAAGAGGAACCTATCGGGAACTCACCTATGCGCTTAAGCGAAAGGCACCTCTTTCAGTCTAGTAGACATTATCTGAGTGATGAAGAAAGTAGCGCCAGTAGCTTGATCCCTCACGGACAATTGGAGACGAATCGGGCATCTTCTTCCTTTTTTGCAACAAAAGCGAACGAATACCACAACAAAAGCTTGCTTCCCACTCCCTCACGACAAAGGCATAGGCCAGAACCAGAAGCAAGCCCAAGAAAGGCTCTTGAAGCTTCTCTGGAGCACAGCATTGACGAGGCATGGTCAATTGTCCTGGGCTCAACTATCATCGAAGAAAGTGATGCCGAAGATGAAAAGAAACAGGTACAATCGACGACAGCAACGAATCAGGACCACTTGGTTCAAGGGCCAGCGACACCAGGTATCAGCCGAAGCGGCAGAATCCTGGATGATTTGCCAGACAAGGTGAAATCCCCGGAGGATGCTAAAAAACTACTTCGCACGGCTGTCCATACATTGCAAGATGCAAGAGCGGAAAGAGAGTCAGCACGACAGTGGGCTACAGGCATGAAAGATGCTGTACACAAGTGGGTCGAGCAGCAGCGTGAGTTGATGAAAGCAGAATCTAGTGTCACTCAGTCCAGGGCTTGGCAGCAATCCCAATTACAGTCTCTGTCGAACTTGGAAGGCTCGATTCAAAATCTTTGTCAGGAAGTTCACAGCTCGAATCAACAGCGGACATCAACAGAGGAAAAGCTTCACAAGCTCCTCGTTGATCAGCGAGAAAAGATCCAGTCCATGGCGGAAGAAGTCTTGTCTATGAAGCAGCAGATTCAACAAATGGACCAGCAAGTTACTCAACCAGAAAAGACAAATACTCCAACACGCAAAAAGAAAGGCAAAGTGACGTCAAATTCAAGCTCCAAATTAAAGCTGGAAACTCCGAGTCGCTCGACGGCATCATCAACGGCTTCTTCTCGCGTCCGGAAAGAAGGGAAAGATGGTGGTCATATCATTCTATATGGGAATGGAGTGCGAAAAGAAGTTCACAAAGATGGGACTACAGTTATTCGCTTTACGAATGGCGACGTCGAAACCAAGTTTTCTGGCGGAACAACAGCTTACTTTCATGCAAAAGATCGAGTCATGCAGATCAACAACACGGCTGACGGGTCAACGCTTTTCGAGTATCCCAACCGTCAGATTGAGCGTCACTACAGGGACGGTAGCAAAGCAATTCTGTTTGCTGATGGTACGAGACATCGTATTTCTGCGCAAGAAAAAATGGACACAGCATTTGTGAAAGCATAAAGTTGGTCGTTACTTTTATATTTTGCAAAAAAAAAAAACTAGAAAGCTTGGTGGGGAATGGTCTTCAATCTTGGCTTCGGTGACGATGCTACAGTATATGTTTCAATTATGGGATGATCAAAGTAGTCTTGAATTTGGGCACACAAGAGTTTGAGAGCTTCATCAAGAAGGAGAGTTGACTTGATTCAGATCTTGCATACAAGACCAGTTAATACCTGGTACGATACTACTCGTACTATCATTTGTCATAATACGCATTTACAGTTCTGGTTTACCTCGACTCATTCGATTTAAAGAATTTGATGTGCAATGACGCGACCCTTTGAATCGTACCGGTACCGGTACCATACAAGGATATTCTCAAGCATCTTGAGTGACGGACCCGTGGCTTCAGCACGGGTCGTCTCGTATCGATGAGATGAAGAGGACAAAGCAAAGCTATTGTTTCCGACGAAAGGATAAGGCAGCGAAGAGGTATCTAACATCTCCGCTAATATTCTTTGTCGCTTTAACCATGCTTTGCGAGAAGCACTCTATGAAGCAGTATTCAATGGAATTGGACCAATCTCGTGACGGCGTTGTTCCCCTTTTTCTGACACGACGACCTAGTTGGAATCTGAAGCATGGTTGGTGGAAATCTGAAAGGCAGTGCAGATCATATTCAAAACAGATCCGGGATTTTTGGAAACGCAATGAAAAGGCAGTATGTGGTCCAGAGCATAAGAGTTGCTCCGCATTGGTTCACACGGAGCTGATGCAACAGCGAGACTATCGTTTTAAAAACGATGCTCGTCGGGAACAGCTGCCCATCCTTTCATTTTTGGTAACACAACATGCATCAGTTAGGATGAACATTGTTGTGAACAAACAAGACTATACAAACCCGCCTGGATGGCTGGCATGTCTGCTTCGACACCCTGTATATGGTGAACGACTACAAACCACGAATTTTGATTTTGAGGCACTTGAGAACTTTCCACAGAAACGACTTCTGTCAAAGGCATATCACAATGTGAAAACATTGGCAAATAAAAGCGACCTGCGACGATATGCTGTTTTATATCAGTAAGTTGAAAAAGCTTATCCACGTTACTGATCTGATTATCGCTTGAACTATAGACTCACCCATGTTTTTTTAATCATCGCCTGGAAATCATAGTTTTGGGGGAATCTGGGTTGATCTGGATAACTTAATTGTCAACGATATGCGACCTTTGTTTGGGTTTGACTTTGTGTATGCCTCTGGAAGTCGATTAAACGGTGCAGTTCTCGGTGTTTCTGGTCCACAGTCTCTCTTTATGCGCGCTGCAATTGACCATGCTATTACCACCTTCGAAACAAACAGATATCCCAAGAGCTACTATAAGTTTGCAGACGATTTGTTCAAAGATCTGGACAAAAAATACAAGAAGCTTTTTCTCAAGCTCAGTGGATGTCTGTTTGAATCTAGTTGGGGTGGAAAGTTTCAGCATGCTCCATCGAATTCAGATTTCTGGAGGCATCCAACAAAGCCAGAAAATGAGGGCTTTTTCTTAGATCCTACTGGCATGTTTACATATCACTGGCATGGCAATTGGGGGTTGGGTATCACACCCACGTCTTTTGGTTCAGTGGCCCACTCCAATTATGTAAGAGAGTTAGAATTGGATCGATCGATATTTCAACCTGCCGAAGAACATAATTGGTCGCGACCGACAGAAATGCTGCTTAATCGATGAAACTAACGAAGCGAAGAATTGAGTCGCACTAAATCGTATTGGTTGCAGGCAGAGCTACATGTCGAAATCATCTACAGTACGAGCCCATTGCAGTGACGGGCACAGGAATACTGCAATATTCAATTGTTTTCGCCCGACAGTCTTATTACTGTATGGGTCACTCGACGATTTTGACTTACTCATCTACCCTCCTTGGTACTGTACTTTTCCCACTCTGAACTTGTCTGAACAGGACCAGGGTACCGGTACCTGGTACTGTACGGTAGCCAAGAGTGCTGTAGTGATCGTGTCATGTCGCATAACAGACGCCGTACACGTGAACCTCGTTCCTCAGTCACACACAAATATAAAAACTAAAAAAGATCTACTTTTCCCATCATTTTGACCCTTCTCGCATGTACCGGTACTGATATCCTGCTACGTGCATCGGTAGTGTATGGAGGACAGAAATACCCAACATTTTCACCTCTCGCTTCAGTTGCTTTTTCACACAAATTGTTAGACATGTCTAGATCAGGCCAAGTCAAGAATCGAGCCCCAGCGCCAATCCAAATATCAGCGGAGCAAATCTTGCGTGAAGCTGCAGATCGTCAAGAGGCGCATACGGTCGACCCAGTGGTTCAAATTCATGACGCAGAGGAGTACCAGTCTTATCTTCGCGATCGGCGAAAGCATTTCGAAGATAACATTCGTTACAGAAGGGAGCATATTGGAAATTGGGTGAAATATGCGCGGCTAGAAGAAGAACACAAAGAGTTCGAGCGAACCCGCAGTATCTTTGAAAGAGCATTAGAGGTGGACGGTCGCTCTGGAGAGCTATGGTTGAGGTACGCTGAGTTTGAGATGAGAAACGAATTTGTGAATCATGCTCGCAACATTTTAGACAGAGCAATACAACTACTGCCGAGAGTTGACTTCTTGTGGTACAAATACGTGTATATGGAAGAACTAGTTCGTGACATACCGAAATGTAGAGCAATTTTTGAGCGTTGGATGAAGTGGATGCCAGATGATAACGCATGGCTGAGTTATGCGAGGTTCGAGACTCGCTGTGGCTCTCTTGATCGGGCAGAAGCGGTGATGAGAAGGTATGTCAATGCATATCCTTCAGCAAAAGCTTTCTTGAAATTTGCCAAGTGGGCAGAGTATGAGGCCAAGCACATTGATTTGGCGCGGTCGATTCTCGAAGCATGTCTGTCAGAATTAGAACCAGAAGAGTCAAGGCAAGCACATGTTTTCCAAAAGTTTGCTTTTTTTGAAGAGCGACAAGGAGAGTATGAGCGCGCTAGGGTGATCTACGAGCATGCGATAAAGCTATTGCATTTAGGCGAGGTCAAACCAATGGAACTGGATGACGATATATCTCAGTGGGAACAAAAAAGACGAGAAGAGCTTTATAAATCTTATCTAAGTTTTGAGAAAAAACATGGTGACAGAGAAGGGATTGAAAAAGTCCTGTTGGCAAAACAGCGAAAGCAGTACGATAACCGTGTCGAGAATAACCCGCACGATTACGACGCTTGGTTTGAATTTGCAAAACTAGAGGAGGATGCAGGAAACATATCCTCGGTCAGAGACGTTTACGAGCGTGCAGTTGCACAAGTACCACCTTCCACAAATAAAGACCATTGGAGGAGATACATTTATCTTTGGATATACTATGCAACATATGAAGAGCTCTCCAACCAAGACACCGATCGCGCATCGCAAATTTATCAGACATGCTTAAAAGTCATTCCTCACAAGGAATTTACCTTCGCCAAGATATGGATTTACGCTGCCAAAGTTCATGTCCGGCGCAAGGATTTGGCAGCAGCGAGAAAGCTGCTTGGCAGGGCGATAGGACTGTGCGGGAAAGAACAAATTTTCACAGAATATATTGCGCTTGAACTATCTTTGGGGGAGATCGATCGTTGCAGAGCTCTATACAACAACTACCTCAAGTCCATGCCCCATAATTGTGTTGCCTGGTCAAAGTATGCGGAGCTTGAAACGTCACTTGGTGAGACCGAAAGATGCCGTGCAATCTTCGAGCTCGCCGTCACACAGCCAACACTGGACATGCCAGAGGTTTTGTGGAAAGGGTACATTGATTTTGAAATCAACGAAGGCGAAGGCGACCATGCTAGAAAATTGTACGAACGTCTTCTAGAGAAGACGTCGCATGTCAAGGTGTGGATATCATTTGGGCAATTTGAGGCAAGTGAGATCGGACAAGGAATGGGCATCGCTCGTTCAACTTTTCAAAAGGCATACGACCAGATTAAGAACCAAAACCTCAAGGAAGAGCGTGTGCTTCTCCTTGATGCATGGAGAGCTTTGGAACAAGACAGGGGGGATCTGGCGAGTGTGGAAAAAGTGGAGAAAATGTTACCCCGTCGAATCAAGCGAAAACGAATGCGAAAGGATTCAGGGGGCAACGACTTGGGATGGGAAGAGTATTTCGACTACCAATTTCCAGATGAAGGCCAGTCGGGATCCTCGAATCTCAAAATCTTGGAAATGGCTGCGAAGTGGAAGAAGTCTGTGGTTGACAGCAGCGATGACTCAGATGACGAGATATCAGATTGACGGCGTTGAATTGACAAGAGTCACTTAGATATTACTGTAGTGATTGAACCCATATTTTTCGCTGATCGTCACAAAACATGACTTCAACACAACCTTGTGACTTCCAGCTCCTATCCATTGCACTCAATACCATCTGTGGAGTGGCAAACGATGGGACAAACTCTCCATTTACAGCGTCTATGGATTGATGAAGCTTCTTTGTCTGCCGATCTTTCAATATCGCTGCTAGGGACTGGAAAGGTCCGGGTACTCCTTCGAGGTCCTTAACGACAACATCCGATGCATTGACTGTTTCGAGAACCAGACCGAGCTGTTCGGGTGCGTCCGCCGCTACGCACACCGTCTCGGAGTTTTCCATCGTGATAGCAGTGGATTTTGGCCCACCACCACTAATCATTGCTGACCAGCCCTTATTATCGGCTCTATCACGCAAAGGGCGGGCAAAAGTCAGCCCTATCGGGTACTTTGAAGCATCCTTGATCATTCCTTCGACCTCTGCCATGGTTGGATTCGAGCTCTCTCCAAGCCATCGACAACCAGCTCCGACGGAGCAACCGTTTACAAAAACCAAATAATCACCCAACAAAATACCGCTCTTTTCTGCGATCCCATCAACCTGCTTGAAACCAGTCAACGCGACTCGCTTCGTACCTTCGACTTTCTTTTCTTCAAGCTTGAGTTCTTCGGGACCTCCAATCTCTATTCCAGAGCCCTCAGGCTTTTTGAAAGAAGCCCGGAACAAATAGGGATCTGAAAACTCAAGTGAAAGAGGGCGTTTGTGTCCTTCTTCTTGCAAGAGCTTCAATGCTTTCGACCTTCCAGCACCGTCAGCACCCAATACAGGGTTGCCATTCACACGGGTAAGTAAGTCACCCTCATTCAAATCCTCACAGCGCTCAGCAGCAGTGACCACACCATCGTCTCGGGGAATTAGCTGCCTGATAACTAGCCCAAAATTATCTGGCGCGTTTGCAAACTCGATACCTAAGTCTCCAAGCTCTGTAAACAGAACTTTTCTCGTAGAGAAGTTGCGCTCAACTGGCCCATCATCAACTTCCTCTGCTGATGCATCTTTTTTGCTCTTCGCAACGAAGTTTTTGATTCTCTCTGCGTCTTCACTTTCGGCCAACTCGAATTGAATAGTCTTCGGCCGGCTTGGATCCTTCAACGCTTCGAACAAGTCATCGTCATTCTGATATCGAATTCCATTGACAGCCACAATGGTGGACCCTTTGAACAAGTTAGGATCAAGGTTCCGTTTTTCGCAAACGCTTCTGGCTTGACTTCCACGCGGAAAATCAACAATCTTTAATTTTCCGCTTTCGTCATTCAGAAGAAGGTTCATTCCCAATGGGAGCCGCTCTCGCCATACTAGTTCGAGCAGATTAGTTTCTTTCTCAGGAATTGCCTCAATAATGTCGTCACGTGTTGCAATCTCCAATTCGCTTAACTCTAATTTTGCAGTTCTCAGAAGTACGTCCCAGAACGGACTTAGTCCTTCGTTGAGCTTCGAAAGGATCCAGCCACTCCTGTTTGAGATTATTTGAAGGATTGCTTTTACAACGTAATCTCTCAAAAGTCCTTTAAAAACCGACGCGACCTTGTTAATAACCCACGCAAGTTTAGACCCACCTTGCATGGAAAACTCAACAGAGCCAATGGTGCAGAGTCTATCATGCAGACACAAAACAGGCTCCCAGTCTTCTGGTTTGTATTCGTTCTGACCCTCTTCGATCCCTACTTTTAGGCGTTTTCTTAGCTCAAAGGAAAGGCGAATGGCGCCGCCCGACATCTTCACGTCAAACTTCCCATTTCCTTTCAAATAAGGCATGTACGTTTGCTCGAATCCCCACATGGCATGGTTAAATATCGCGGAAACCTGCTTGACATCAATGATCAACAATTCTGTGGCATTGACAACAGCATTTTCATCTAAATGTGTGTCCAGATCCATCGATGAGCTAGTATTTCGAATATTTCGCCCTGTTGTGGTATCACCACCCTCCGACGATTCGGCACCCGACTCCTTGGCACCATCAGCTTTCTTGGTCGCACGCATACCAGCAACCTCGACTAAGATGTTTTCTTTTGTGACTTTAAAACCCTCCATTGAAAGGTTCGATATATGATATACTAAGCCATCCTTGACCCCATCCACTGGAGGTATAGGCATCGAAGGGAGGACTCGAAGAATGAAATCAAGGGCTGTATCTGTCGCATCAGATAGAAGTTTCTGTCTTGCTGCGTCATCATTGATCGCATTTCCTGCATTGTCCTAGAATACATCGTTAAAAGAGCAACGCAATGATGTTTTTCAATGAGACCTAATACGTACCAAGAGTTCATTGACATCGATCTTTTCAATGCCTTCCATGACACTATCCTTTGTAATTCCCGCCTTTTCAGCAATCTGCAGAGCATCTTCGACCATTTTATTACCGGAGACACCTTCTATCACATCTAGTACTTGCTCACCCTGCTTGACAAGGTTTTCACCAGCAGCGACCACATTATCATCGTTGAGAATACCGACGACCTCATCCATAACTGCATTCACTGTCATCTCTCCAGAAATGATCTTTCGAACATGTTTCAAGACTCCCAGCATTGTCTCATCGGTCACAGATTCCTCTGCGGCGCCAAGCTGCTTTTCGATCTCATCGGCTGCTCGCTTTGCAATGGGTTCGAACAGTTTCGATGTTCCTCCTTCTCCTCTGGCAAGGGCAGCAATTTCTTCAGGTGCCATATGCTGACCTAAATGTGATTCTAACTCACAGAGAACTTGCTCCAACTTAAGAAGTGCTACGTCGCGGTACTCATTTCGATGTGAAAGGACGGAAATAAGGGATTCGTTCGCATCCTTGCTGGCGGAGTCAGCTTGGCCTTGGAGGAGCGTAAGCATATCTTTTAATTGATCACCTGATTCCCCACCCTTCGATCTCGCTGTTGTTAAAGCTCCAGCAATGATACCATCCAGTCCTCCAAGTGATTCGCTTCTAATTTCAATCGCTCGCACAAGACGGTCTCGCACCGACTCTCCTAACTCAATTGATTTCAGTCTCGCCACTGCAGCATCTCCTTCCGTGAAAGCTTTAGTGAACTTTGATCCAATTTCCCCAGCCCACTGTAGCTGATCTTTTGAGAAAAGACTGGCTGCCCTAGCTTGGATACGGTTTGCACCTTCGAAGAAAAGACTGGCTGAGCGAGTTGACATGAGCCGTCCCGTCGCCTCCTGCCACTCAGCAGTTTGCTCATTCAAAGTGTCCAAAATCTTCGCTAGATTTCGATCTGATTTCGCAGCAGCTGAGAGTGAGTCGAACATTGTACTGAAGTTTTCTCCCAGGCTTTCCTTAATGCTGTCCAAGTCGCTTGGATCCACCTCAGCTTTCTTGAGAAGATCATCTAAAGCCTCAAGTGCCATTTCTCTCGATTTTGTAATTGCTTCTGAATAAGGAGACTCTCTGAATTCTTCATCCATGACCACGCGAATGCCTGCATTTTCTAGAGCCGCTTCTGTCGCTTTTGGGATGTCTTTGTTGAGCAACTGTTCCAATCGTGCTTTCCCTTTTTCAAGAAGGAATGTTAGATCCTCGTCTTTAATCATAGCCATCACTTGCTGGACTTCGTCTTCATTGACAGCCCCCTTGACTTGCGTTGCCAAGTTATCGACAGCACTTCCAATTACATCGTCGGGGATAACAGATGATGCCTGTGCCATCGCTTCAGCCGACTGCTTATGAGTATATTCTGAGGCCTTTCCCAGTACGTTGGTGACTTCATCCTTGTTGAGAAATTCGGTAGTTGCGCTAGCTGTTTGTTCTCCACGGCGTATCAATTCGACTAACAACGGATAAAACTTAGCACTAGGAGATGGAGACAAATCATTTGCAGAGACTGACTCCACATGGGCAGAAATTAGAGACGAATGTGGATCCGAAAGTATATGGCCACTCACAGAGAGTCGAGACAGTCTCTCTGAAGTAACGGTATCGTTGCTTTTGCTTGGATCTATATCTACTGCTGTCGAGTTTGTAGTATTTGCCGCGAGCTCATCGTTGTCCTCAAGAGCTCTGATCTGGTAAAGCTTGGTCGATGCATAATAAGCCTGCACCATATACTTTCTCTTCGAAGGATCACCAGCTTTGATTGTAATCATTCCTGGGGCCACGGGCAATCTCCCCAAGATTGAATCCCGCTGGATGTGTGCGGTACTCGACGAACCCATAGACTTGCCGGGAATACGCCAGAGCATGACTTTGAAGAAAGCCGATTCTTCCCCCGGACATGAGGCAATTACCCCAACACCGAATGATGTCTCGACCACATCTCCAGGATTTAGTTCTTCCATCGCCATTCGCTTGAATGTGGCCAAACTACTCTGACGCTCGGTTATACTTCCTTTTTGGGCAGTCAGTAGTCTTCACCGGTAAAAGTACCTGTTCAGAAGAGGAACATCATTAAAAACGAAACAAATCGACCAATTCGAACAATCTTTGCAACGTTGAACGGGCTGAAATTGAAATTTCTGTTGCCAACAGTCCTAAATGGTACCGTAAACAGTTTTTCTTTGCATTTCAAACAATGAGCCACAAGCCAAATGAAGGCGTCAAAGCTGCTGCCGTAATCTTCGACAGTGACCTTGTGAAATTATTGAACTCGGACGACATTCGTATTCCTACAAATTTTGTTGGAGTGAGACGGGTTCGACCGCACAAACTACTAGAGGAAAAGAGAAATAGTAACACTGTTCGAAATGAAAATACTGTTTTCACAGTAAAAGTTGCTAATGGCATCGGTCGTAGGATGACCAAACAAGAGAAGAAGAAAGAAAAGCAAAAGATGAAGCAGAAGCAGAAAGAGGATAGAAAGCGGCACCGACAGGAACAAATGGATTCGCCAACCTCCATTCCATCAAACTTGAAGACTCCTAGCATCTATTCGTCGACTACAAACAGTCGCTATTTCCAAGTGGCTCTCAACAATACTGCGTTAGAACAAGAACTTGCCGAGTTGCGTGGGGAGCGCAATGGCCTTCCTCCCGTTCTTTTATCGCCAGCAATGGCAATTCATGCCGAAACGATACTTTGGCCATCGTCTGGCTCGGGTCACATTGAACACAAGCTTCAATTTACCTACGATCACGAAATGTCGAAGAAATGGGCAGAGCTCTTGAAAGAGACTATGCGTCCGGCTGAAGCAACTCGTGAAAAGGATAATAAAATCAGACCCATGCCGTACCAACTAACTCCAGAGCCATGGACTCGCCTTCGGCAGAATATGGGCCAACAGAAGTTGGAGTCCAACAGAGATGCGCAACATTTCAGCAGCCGTTGGGACCTCATGCCTTCAAAATGCAAATCAACGAGAATGATTTGTCGCCAACCAACCGAGACCGACCTTATTGCTTCACTCGTATTCGAATACCTGTTCATGGAATCCAAGTACTACGTATCTTGTGGAGCCAAGTTTGGCTGTGATTTTCTTATCTACGATGGGCCGCGAGAAGAACGTCATGCGTTTGCTGGACTACGTATTTTGAAAGCAAAAGAAGGCCAACTGCCTATCCAGAGTGCTTTTAGTCTCTCTGGCTTCGTACGATGCCTCAATACAGCGGGAAAGTTTGCCTTGCTTGCCACCGTTGTTAGAGATGAAAAATGCGAGAACCCATTATACAGATTGGCATTTGTTGATATTGCATTAGAAAAAGTCCTAACAGCACCAACGCACAAGAAAAGGGCTAGAACACAAAAACGACGAGATGTTGCAAAAAATCTAGCTAAATTGTAATCGAACCGAGGCTGTGATTACCACAGGAATTGAAGTCCTCAAGAACTGGGTCTTTCCGAATCTGGAGGGAAATGGCTACGTGTGCAGTGCCACACCATGCGACCATTAGAATCTTGGATCGGCCGAGCAACTCCGCGATCTTCATAATGCAAACTGGTCTTCTCACACTGCTCGTCAACGTGGGTGAATAGGATATGCTTCATTTGCGCAAGTTGCTGTGGAGATATGATTGCTGGCTCGTCCATGATGAACCACGAAACAATTTCGGTGCAAGGTGGCTCGGTTAGGGAACCGTCGTATCCATAAAAATAGACTGTGCGCATCAAATCACCGTGGTATGGATGGAATTTCTCTGTCAGCTGTCTTGCGTTCCTTTCTCTTTGCTCAAAGGCAGGGTCATCCAAGTCTGTGGAAAAGTCATCCCATGCTTCGTTATCAATTTCCGATCGAGTATTATTGCCTCTCATCACCGCAGAGTGAAAATCAGAAACAAGCTTACGATCACGCTTTTTGTGCTGTCCGCATTTTGCTTGATCGACGTCGTACTCGTGTTGAAAAGCATCAATTGCTATCTGAAGAATGGCATTGTGCCCATTCGTCTCTACCTTGAACAGAATGGAAACGGCTGGCATTAGCCGGCGACCGGGGTGGAGGTGATATATCTGCATCTCTGCATCGAACTTTTCTCCGTAAATTTGATGTTCTGCTGGGACTTTGAAATCGATGTGTAAAACATCCGCATCCGACGCCCAACCATTCGGGAAATCAGCAAAAGGCGGATCTGGTTCTTTGCAAGCCTCATTAGAAAGCTAGGAATAGGTTTAGATTTGCACATAAATACACCAAATACACAGGACACGCGTGGAAGACGTACATCTTGGCAGGGTCGACGGTCGTAAAGTAGACGCAGTTTACTTCCCAGGATTTGCCTCCTGACATTGCTTCCTTGAATTCGAAAATCACCAGGCTGAAGAAGCAATTAGTTTCAAAACCGTCTCAAAATGATCTTGCTTTGTCACTTACCCTGTGCCGAATTTGATGCGTTTCAACGCACGCCACACCAGACAATCGGATATCAATGGGACTTTGATTAGCTCCACTGCTACAAACACTTTGATCCATGTTATGATTCGCGAGAACGCTCTTCCAAGCACCCCATCCATTATCGCTAAACTCGTCCCAATAGTAATTGAATTTATCGGTCTTTTCTACACTCCCCCAAGCATTGTTTTCATACTTGACACGAAATTCGTTGCCATATTGATAATATGACGGGTATCCAGGACCAAAGCGTGAAGTTCTGGACACGTCGTAGTTGAAGTAACCCCTTGGCGGATTCGACGGCACAGGATTTGTAGGGTACGATTCAGGATAATCCTGAAGATTTATTTCGTCACATCCCTCACAAGGTCGCGAATCTATTGGCGTAGTTCCAGGGGCTCCACTTGCTTCAGGGGTCGTAGGAAAAACATAGTCAAAAGGGTCAAATTCTGTTCGATCTTGCTCAAGATAGTCTTCTCGGATATCTACACCATTTTGAATGATGTCAATCTTGCTCCACGAACGACTCTTGACGCTGGTGGACAGGATCAAAACAAGAAACGAAGACCACTTTATTCTTTTTGTCATGGTCGACTTTGGCTTTCAAGGGTGGTTGAGTGACCATCTCCAAGGCTGGAGCATGGAATCGGCACACCTTGTCTTTTGCTAACCAAATTGTGAGTGGAAGTGAAACACACGCGTTGCTCTATGTAAAATGGGTGTCGCAGTTCTAATAGGTTATACCCATCCAATTATACACGACGCCAGCCGGCATATTCAACGGTCCTTTGGTGCTCGAAATCTTACGTGCGATTCGTACGAACCGCATTGCTCGTTCTTGTTTCGGAAGTAGCCGATTTGTTGGAAGCACAATTGCTCTCGTTGTTTCGTTTACTTTTGTTGCCAAGACGTAGACAGCATGAGTAATCCTTTCGATCCTTTTGGGGCTCCAGCTCCAGCTCCTGCTACTGCTGCTCCTCAATATGGAGCTCCTCCACCACAGGCCAGTCCTTCAAACTACTCTTATCAGACTGCACCTCCTGCATTCGCTGGGACTCCCCAGTCTCAGCAGTATCCTCCGCAGCAGCAACATCTACAGCAACCATTCACTCCTAATTCTGCGGCATCCGCTCCCGCGTTTGGGAACCAAATGGTAGTCGCCCAGCAGCAATCGAATCCTTACGGAGGCATGGTCGCCCAACCACCAGTGGCACTCCCAATGGATCCAATGCAGCACCAAGCTCTTGTGCCGGCTACTCAACACCCTGCTGCGGCGTCTCAGTGGGGCTTAGCACCAGCACCAAATGGATATCCAGGGCCTGCTCCAGCGGGATACCCAACCCCTGTTCCAGTAGGTGGCGCCTCTTTCGATCCTTTTGCGCCGCCACCTGCTGCTCCTCCGGCACCCCCACCTCCGCCTCCTCAGCAGCCTGCGCCAATGCCTCCGCAACCAGCATACGATGATCAACCGTTCCCGTTTGAGATGGCTCCTGCTCCTGCCCCTGTCGCACCACCTCCTTCGCAACATTTGAGTACCGAGGTTGTCGAAGCTCAACGGTCGGCTTATGAAAATCGAGGAAACTATGGACACGAAGGGGGCCGTGGTCGAGAAACCAGCGATGATCGCCCACAGGAAGTTAACAGAAATAAATACTCCAACCAGATCGCCAGAAATGTTCCAGGGGCATCGTCTTTGCCAAAGCCTGAATTGGTCAAGCAGAGTGGGTGGGTTTTGTCGCGCATCTCTTTTAGAACAATTCTTACCAAAAAGTGGAAGCAATCCTACTGGGTTCAGTATGGCTCGCACACAATGCTTTGGTTCCGTACTCAGCAAGATTTCGATGACTGGTTGAACAATCCATACCACAACCAGGCGCAGCGCAACTTTTTGATTAAGCTTGCTGTTAATTTTGTCCACGACTTGTACAAACCAAACGTTCGTGGATACCAAGTCACCCAATCCCGTGCCAAGCCATATGGAAACAAAATGGTGAGGCAGTTTAAGCTCGAGCGCTGGATGGACTATGGGCCTACCATTGCTGCTGCCTTTGGGTCGTATGACCCACAAGAGATTGACAAACTTCGCTCAGCAATCGTTGAGTGCATGAAGAATACACCTTTGGAAGGTGGTGTCCGCCCCACTGGTGCCATCAAACAGCACCACGAGGAGCAAGCTGAGAAGGCTGCTAGACGTACTGGTGCGTAAAGGAATCGTTCTCAGTTGACTGGGAATCACGTGTTTTGCTTATCCTCTTTTCTCTTTCACACAGAATCCGAGAGGTACGAAAATGGAGCCCCAAACGGGAACCGTGACAACTACAATTCTGCTCCAAGTGCAAGTCGTTCAGTTGCTTCAGTCGATGATCTCTTAGACAGTTCCCCTACTTTCGACGAGAGCGCTTCTTACCCCAATCTACCAGGCTATGGACAACCTGACCCTGCCCAAGCTGCCTTTGCAGCTTATGCCCAACAGGCACCACCACCACAATCTTATCCACCGCAGCCACCTCCACAGCAACAAATGACCCCATACTATCCTACTCAAGCTTCACCGCAGCCACCACAAGCCCCTCCACAGCCTTATGGTGGGGGCTATGGACAACCCCCACCGCAAGCACCACCACAGCAACAGTACCAATACCAGCAGCAAGCACAGTTTTAATTCTCAGACAGTTGAAGGCTGCCTTTTGACGGAGTCGAATTACTTCAAGCAACATAGGTGTCTATCTACATCATCTACCTGGCAAATTGGTCGGTTTAAAGACACGGTGAGAACAATTTAGAGATATTAATGGATATCAATTCATCTCCTAGGATTTCAACATCCTCATGGTATCTTGTACAGTAGTATGTCTAATGGATTGATGTCATCGCCGAAACTTCGTCTTACGTTTCACTTTGTATCTTCGTTTCTGAGAGGCATCCTGTAGCAGGTTGCGTCGAAGCGATAGAATGATGTCTTCCGTTATGGGTACAGTCTGCATTTTTGTTCCTACTTCCTCTTCACAAATCGTACTTGAAAAGGCTTCAGCATCGCTTCTCTTTGCTGACCGAAATATATAAGTGCAGGCGTCATGACATGGGAAACTTTTGCGATCTAAGGCCTTGAGGGGGCGATATGGAGGGAAAAGGAACCTGTCCAAGACGACCTTGCCCGCGAATATAAAACTGTTTAGCGGGAGCCACTCTAACGCCACATGTTCTAGCCCCCATTGGTTATAAGGCGGCTTACTCTTGTGGCAGATGTGAATTTCGCCACAGTCCGAAAGTAGATCCTTCGCATCTTTAACGAATTGTCGAACAAGGTCTTTGTTCTTGTCCATTGCATCGTTTTGGCCGTCTTGCCCATACGCGATCGCAGTACATGGAAAGTTCCAGCAAATACGATCAAATTTCGACTCTGCTACAATTGGTAGGGTCTGGGCGAGCCTCGTAGCGTCAACGTTGAAGTATAGTTGGGCTCCAAGGCTAGCAAGTTCTCTGGAATAATCCTCGAATCGAGGATACGTTTCCTGAAGCGTCTCCCTAGACTCGTAGCTTGTGGCAATCACAGTACTTTTGCTTAGTTGCGGCTTTAGAATTCTGGCCAACGCCAAGGAATATGAAAAATCTCCATCGCCGATTGTGAGGACAGCCATTCCTTGCTGCAATACGAAAACGAGTAGATCTATTAATAAGGAGTCATCCACAAAAAAGGAGGGCCGATATTCCTACCTGGAAATTCATAGTGCCGCTTGGCGTGCTTTTGACTGACGACCGCGGGCACTGCTCTGGTCGGACATTGGGTACAGACTTGGTGAACTCATAATCTAATGATACATCAAATAGTCCAATTTTGTAAGCACAAGGAATGCATTTGTGGATTCGAGCGCATTGTATTGTGATTGGAGAGGCATGGAGCGATGAACAATCTCTTGTCACAGATTTTGTCCTGAAGCGTTGTGTCAGTTTATCGTGACTTCTCTTTCGGCTTGCACACTTTCTCTCGTCTGACGACATAGTCTTGGGTCTCCTGTCTCTTGGAATCGCTCCTGCTTTATATGATATCGTGGGGAATTTTTTAAAAATAACAACGTTATGATGTTTTGGACATGAACCTTCGAAATGCTCCTGACTTATTGAGGCCTTATTTGTTCAGCCGTCACGACATTTTCTTTCTGCAGAATAGTACCCCTGTTATGTACAGTACCTGGTACCTACGTGTATAGGACTTGGTTCAGGCACCGTACAAACGAACGATCTACAAAAGGATTGGTAGAGTGTGACCAAGTAACTATCAAACTGAAACTATTTAATCCTTCGCTTTGTCATTTTCTTGTTCTTTCCGGCTCCGGCTCTTCCCTTCTTCTTTTTGAAAGAAGAAGCTCCAAGACCATCGTCATATTCGTAGTCGAAAGCTGTTTCGCCCTTCGCCAATTTGCCCTTTCGAATTGCCTTTTCTTTTGCTACACCACCGCCATTCATCACCGAATTGAGAATCTTCATCGACTTTTCGCCTTCCGAAGACGAGTAGGTCTTCGATGTATTTGATTCGAACTTCCTCTTTTTCACTTTGGAGAGAATCTTCTTTCGTTCCGGTTCACCCTCCCTCATTTGATCGAATCGGCCCATAGAGGCTGTAGACCTCTGCACAGCCTCGAGCGCAGCATTTGTGGAAACCTTTCCTCTTTTCTTTGTATCGCCGTTATTTCCTTTTAAGTCCACAGGAAGACCACTTGGTGGGAGACTGTCACGGCCCAAATTGCCCGCATTCTTTCCGGATTTGCGACTCTGCTCTCGGGCCTTCATGACACGGTTTGTGGTTCCTTTTGCCAAATTTCCAGCCCTTTCTTGATTCTTCATGCGGCTCTCGATATTTCGATCCGTACGCGCTCGTTTTCCATCACGAAGAGTTTCCCAGGGATCAGCGTAGGGGTCATCGTTTGCTCCAACTTCCATGATTGGCCATTCTTTGGATTTGCTATTTGCCTTTTCATATCCATGTCGGAACATCCAAGTACCTGTAGTTTCGTCCCAAACCTTGCGCGAGCGCTTTTCTTTGTTGAGAGGAATACCTTTTGCTTTTGCAAACTTTTCCCATTTCGTTTCTTGTTTCGGAGGCGGCGGTGGAAGTGCCCTTGGGAGTTTCATCTCATCATAAGCAGGGAGTTGCACAAGTGGACCTGCATCACTGCGCTCAGTAGGCAACTGGAATAGAGCCTGGACAAGTTGAGTGCACCCGTGTGTAGCCTTTGACAAGAGGAAGTCTTCATCAATGACCAATCCGTGGCTCTCATCGAGTGGAATCGATATGTTCTTCTCATCGCTTGATTTCTTGTTGTAAAGCGATTTCAACGCAACTTGATCCGAATTAATGGCTAACATATTTCTGAGATCAAATATGCACTCATCCGAATTTTTGTTGACAGACGCTGCAATATGATTTGCTTCCTGTGCATTATCATCGGAGTCTGCATCACTCATTCCCCCATCGTCACTTTCGTCTTGTTCCCTTCCCTTGAAGATCGCTGTGACATCTTCCTCATTCTCGGATTCCTCATCGGAGGAAGAATCCTCGATGCTCGAACTCTCATTACTTCGTTTTTCTTCTTGGACTGAGCTATCTTCATCGGAGCTTTCCTTCTTTTTGGAGATGCTTGTCAACACCATTTTCCTTCACGTCGATTGTGATTTGTGATGTGTTCTGAGAGTTCCAGAAAATTGGTGGCCGTAAACTCTCGTGACTGAAAAGATTGTTGGTGGGAATCAAATTTTGTATCGAGCTGTAATACCGGTACATTTTATATGTGGAATGTTTCGAAAGAACTAAGCTACGGTACCGGTTCCGGTACCGTTGCTCAAAATACATATGAATTTCGAGTCATCTGTGTCAAACGCACTATTGCTTCTGCCTTTTTGGCAGTATTTTTGACGGTACCGTTGCTCGCTTTGTAACATGCCACGCAACATTTTCAAACAGAAATGTTATAAAATACTCTTTGCCATAAATATTCGTGTCGTACCACGAGTAATTTTCAGGCAGGATATCCATCGCTCAAACAAAAAAGTTACTTTTCGCCTTAAATATTCTATCGTATCATAAGTAACTTTCTGACAGTATATATTCATCACAAGACAGTATTATTCATCCACAATACAAAAATTACACTTTCTCGATCCTTCTTCTTTGAGAGATGCAGGGTCAAAGAACTGCAGAAGAACAAGCAAATATGGACAGTGACGTCGTGATGGAGGAAGCAGCAGCCAATAACGACCATTCCGACGCTGGAAGGAGGCGCTTTGCACCACCAGAAGACTAGGATACTTGGCAGTGGTATGCCATCAGATACTCCACAGTGCCGCCCATACATTGCTGCCTGATATACAACAACCAGCCAAAAAAGGAGCGACGACCAGTTGACGATTGATGAGGCTATTATTATAGACGGTGATGGGGGCGCTGGTGCTGGTGGAGGCGTGGTGGCAGGGAACTCAACTTAGGAGACTTGTTCTTCCAAAGCATCCAGATAAGGAGTATCCAGCAACTGCAACAACAATTTAGCAACGTTGCTGCTCGATCTCATACAAATTCTTCAGATTTGAAGGCCTACATCCTGCATCGTGAACGAATTCTAAACAACAACATTCGTGCTTTTGGCGGAACAATTGGAGGTGGCTTGCGAATCCAACTCCAACAAGCAAATACTGGCCGCAGACTACTACACTACCACTTCCAGCAAGAGGAGCAAATGCAGATGTTAGTCCCATCGTAGTTGCGAACATGGCTATTCTATCGGGCAATCCCAGGTCGTTAAACGAACTTTGGCGGGAGTATCAGCATGGGATTGCTGGTCGGAAGCCAGTACCAGGTACCTACCGCCTATCGGTAAAGAATACTGTAGCTTCAAAGTACGATTTTGAGCCACCCAAACCTCCCATGGTAATGCAAGCGATCTACAAGTAGCAAAATGGCCTGCGCGGTAGTAGCTACCGATAGATGACAAATATTACATGAAGAACATAACAAAAAATTATTGCCCAGAAGCATCCAAAAGATCCCAGCACAACCTTCAGCTGGTAACAAAGGCTCTGGAGCACCCTACTTGTGATGTTCAATCACAATCTTCGATAATTCCCCTGCGCAATCTAAAGACACAACCGGGTCCCCATGGAATGAAGGAATATCACCTTGAACCACTTGGTATTGAGGTTCATCCTCATAGCCCTTGATCCATGGATGGTTTTGCGCTTCACGGACGCTCAAACGATCATCTGGATTCATTTTCGTCAACGCTGAGATAAACAAAGTCGCCTCCTTTGGCATCTGGTCAGTATCACGGACCCTAAAAGGTGGTTTCTTGTTGGTTTCGACACTTGAGCCGAAGCAGCAGCAACCGACTTCTTCAGGTTCTTCCTGTTGCTCTTTCCCTTCATGTTTTCGCATGTACTGCGAGATTGTAGAATTGGGAGGAACTCCCGTTAAGATCACACGAAGGGTCCACCCGACAGAATATGCATCAACAATCATTCCATAATCTGCAACACACTCTGTAAGTGCCGCATTTGGCTTGTCCTTATCCTCATCTGTCTTGTTCCGAAGCTTATGCTTAATCTCTGGTGCTGCGTAAGCTTTGGTACCGAGAGCACTCATAGATTTCATCTTTGCGCGGGTTGTTGACATTCGTGCCTTTCGCTGTGCTCGTAAGCGCATTGACTTACGTGGAGGAGCCTTGCCACCTGGTGCACCAGCCTCCTCTTGCCCCACCATCCCATCTCGTTCATCTAATCCAGCGTAGTGCGAAACATAGGATTTTCGATAATTATCTCTATCATCATCGTCAATTGCAGCGAAATCGGTTTCCACAATGGAGGTTCTACGAAGTGCCGCAGCAGTTTGTTCGATCAGCGCGAGCTCATCTGTTTCATCGTCGGAGTCGACAGACATGTTGCTCGCAATGTTTATGGCCTTCTTTTCCAAGATAATAGAATTTCTCATGGGTCTCGATTGTTGCATGTACTCCTTATCCTCCAGCGCTCGAGCAAAGCCGAAATCAACGAGCATCATCTTCCACTTTTCCGTAGCAACTGCCTCCTTGGCGTCATCCCCGTCACTCCATATGGCAACATCTTGCGTATAGTCATAATACTCTTGCGCTGGAATCTGCGTGTTTTCCAAAATCAAGTTCGTCGGCTTGATGTCCCTGTGCAGCACAGCCCTCCCGTGCAAATAACTGACAGCCGAAATCAACTGCCGTGAAATGAGACGAGCAAGAGGTAGTCCAAGCGCACCCCTTTTGCTGACCACACGCTGAAGATTTGGACCTCGTGCCAATTGCAAGGACACAAGGCGAGAAGTTTCTTTGTATATTGGGAATGCACGAATAAGGCGTATAACATTTGGGTGCCTCAATTCGGACAAGATGGAGATCTCTCTCTCTGCGTATACTTTCCCTTTTTCTTCCTTGATCTCAATATTTTTGAGAGCAGTGTACTCATCATCGAGCTCATCAACCGGTTTTGTCATTCTTCTTCCCATCCAGACGAGCCCAAATGATCCTCTGCCCAAGACCTCAATACGTTCATACATTTCCTCGGCTTCTTCGGGCCAATCTTCCTCGTGGAAGACGTTTCGAAGCACGTCCATGGTTGAAGAACTTTCTTCAAGGTCTAGCTATTGCAGCTGGATAGAACAATGTCTATAGCCTCCTCTTCGGTTGAAGTTGACGTCGTTGTTGACAAAGACACAATGGTGGGAGTGACCGGACGATAAGAGATCTGAACTGGGAGATCATCTACCAGGTGCAATCTCTACACGGAAGCTACCTGTTGTGTCCGGGTTCTTTCAAGTGAACGTCCAACGGAAATTCCCAAAATGTCCAATAACAACCAAAACATCGGGGGAAAGACCTTTTCTGTTGAAAGGGAGATGAACAAACTGACCCCCGCACTTCGTGAAGACGAAAAACAAAGCAGCTGACCAAAACCTTGCCAAAACACAAAGTGACAATGAAATCTACTGCATTGTCTCAATTTGTGCTATTGCTGATATCATTCGTCTCAGTAAACTCATTCTTTCATGTCACCCTTGTCAAGAATCGAAATAATGTTTTCCTTTCAATGGCAGCCAAAACAGACGATGCGAATGTTGAGGACTACAACGAAATGAGAAATTTAGTCCTCTCGTTGTCCCAAGTACCAACGGACGAAGATCGAAGGGCCAGGTTAGCTAATATTTTTGAAGAGGCTTTGGCCAGGCCGAATGATCAACCGAAGCAATTTATAGATCTGTTCGACGAGGCACTCACAAATGTTGGAAACGAAGTGCAAATTGAAGCCAAGAAAATGTTCGCAGCAAAGGATGCAGAAGCCTCTAATCCAGAAGAAGCAGTTGATGCAGACACTTCAGAAAATGAAGAATCAAATGACGAACGAGTAAAGTCCGCAGAAGAGTTGCAACTATGGGCAGTAAGTTTTAGATGACCTTCTCATCTGAATCTTTACACCCCATCGTCTCACCACCTTCATTTCTTTGCAATAGCTTGTCGATATGATGGTTCAGAGCAAGACAATCGTGAAGAAGGTCAGTGGTAAACTTGGATCCAAAGGAACATTCCAATAATTGGAGGATATGCTTGTGCAGACTAGAATAACTGTGAATAATTCGAGCAGTGAACTACTAGCGGTAGGATCCGAGAAAGAAATGGGGAAATATTCCAAGAAATTAGAAGATATGAGATGATAGTGCAGACCATAATAAGTTGTAAAAATGCCAGCGTTGAACTTGAGATCGAAAAACGGATTGCAACATAAGGACTGCTTTGAAGGACGCTATTAGGAACGATCTTTGAACCAAATATTGTCACTCCTCCAACTTCAAAAACTGTTGATTATTCCATTCCACAGGACTTTTGTAGTACCAGGTACCAGGAGGCACTTATTCAGAGAAGAATGTGACGAACGAACGTTATGTAGCGCAGCTACGAGGTTAAAGTACTACCGTTGTACGTGGCCCCTATTAGCTTCTCAGTGCCGTTGTCGTGAAAAGTACATCGGTGGTTTCGTTGTTGCCCACTTGATATCTGAGACGATGAATGCTCTTCGGCTATCCTCCCGTTACGCTCCGCGAGCCTTTGGATTGACAAGAAATGTCAAGTCAACCCCAAGCTTGAGTAAGTTGCGAAGCTGCAAGAAAGACAGCCTTGGCTTCGTGCATTTTACATGTGAAGACCATGACAGACGGACTGAATTAGAATATTCTCACTGTTGTCTTTGCGTCTCTTTTTGAATGATTCTATTCATACAGACTCTTACCGTGCCTTTGCCAGTGGCTCCGGAAACGTCCCCGTTGCTAGTGGTGTTCCAGAACTTCACGAGCTTGGAAGTGTCGACACTGGATTCTACGATGATCGTATTGACAAAGTGAAAGAACCAGAAAGACGTGCATTTGCTTACATGATGCTTACAACTGTCAGATTTGCCTATGCATCTGCCGCCCGATTGCTTGTCGTGAAGTGCGTCGCCTCTTTAAGTATTTCTGCTTCCGCTGCTGCTTTGGCGACTGCTGATTTCGATCTCAGCGAGGTCGAGTTCGGTGAGACTATTACTGTCAAGTGGCGTGGAAAGCCTATTTTCATTAGGCGCCGAAAGCCAGAAGAAATCGATGAAGTCCGGGCAGTCCCCATGAGCCATCTTCGTGATCAAGAGGCCGATGAAGACCGTGTTACTAACCCTGAATGGATTATTGTATTGGCTATCTGCCCTCACTTGGGATGCGTACCAGTATCAAATGCTGGAGAATACAATGGATGGTTTTGCCCGTGCCACGGGTCGCACTACGACATCAGTGGACGTATCCGCAAGGGACCTGCCCCATTGAATCTCGAAGTTCCTCCTTACAAGTTCATGGATGAGAAGAACCTTCTCATTGGATAAATTGAATTACTTTAGAGTTGTTATTTGACTTCAACTGCTTTTTGTTCAACACCGAGCAGGGCATCGTGATATTATCACCAGCTTTGGCTTCGTATCATCCATCATCAATGGATATTCAAAAACTCCACTAGTCGACGGAGTGAGTCAGTCGAAGATGAGCAACTCTGATAGGGAAGAATCGGAAGGATTCCATGCCGTCATCGTCAAATCTAGCAATTTCCAAAAGAATACCATCTCATGTTGGTTGTGATCCACACTGCTAGTTTCGGTGTCCACGTTGACACACGATACCGGTACCTCCATTGGATAGTTCAAAGTGGTTTTGAATGTTCCGTTGATGGCCGTCGTGGTATACAGTAGATACCTGGTGGAGAGGAGAAGAAAAAAGTACCACTTTAGTGTACTACAGATATTGCGGTAATAAAAACTATCGGTAATTCTTCCCCCCTTTTTCATGTTTAGCTAGTCGTGTTTGATGTAGCTAGTAGTATGTGATATTGGGTCACTGTTAGGTTAACATGTAGGTCCGAATAAAGTAAGTTCTGCGTTGGTCTGCTGTAGCCAGGAGCTGATGTAGGAACGGAGATTGGACCAGAAGTAGGCCCGAAAGCACTAGGTCCTAGTCATGGTGATCTAGTATGCTTTAATGTTGGGTCACTGGTACTTTCATACTATGTAAGTCCGAAAGTAGGAGCTAATAATTCATTGGCTGCTGGTTGGTTCAGTCCGGAAGTAGGTGCCAATCATGGTTAGCTAGTAGGAACATATGTTGGGCCACTAGTACTACCTAGGTTCAGAGGTAGGTCCGAAAGTAAGTTCAATGCTGGTCCTCAAGGAGGAGCTGATGATTCGTAGCTAGTAGGCTCAGATGTGGGAAGGGAGCTTGGACCTGAAGTTCCGCAAGTAGGCCCCGATCTTGGCAATCTAGTAGGATTTGATATTGCGCCATTTGTAGGTTCATGCATAGGACCGGGCGTTGGGCAAGAAGTAGATCTGGAAGTTCATCCCGATGATGCATATGTAGTAGGAACTGAAATAGAGCAGGTGCCTGGTTCATAAGTAGGTCCGAGAGTAGCTCTTCATGTTGGTACTCTAGTAGCCTAGGTACTTCATTTCGCGGTTGTGCCAGAAGTTGGTTCGGAAGTTGGTCTTCACGAGAGGTGCCAGGTAGTCAGTAGTAGTGGTTGGTCCAGAAGGAAGTCTGGATTTACGTCCCGATGTCCGTGCGCCAGAAGGAGCTAGCTGATGTAGTGCCATTGGTAGGCTCCTCAAAAATACTAGGACCGAGCGCTGGACCACAAGTAGTTCCAGAAGTAGGTGAGAAGTAATAAAAAGTCCGGAATTAGTTCTGGAGATAGGTCCCGATTATGTTGGTCCACTAGTGGGAAATGACGTGGGGCCACTCGTATGATCATGGTTAGCTAGAAGTAACATTTTGGTACGCTAGTAGGAACGGTCCCGAACATATTGCTACGCAAATACTAGGAGCGGGATGAGCAGCTAGTAGGAAATGAATTAGGGCCGGTGGCTGGTACACTAGTAGGTCTGGAAGCACTAGGTCCCGATGGTGGTTAGCTAGTAGGAACTGATGTTGGATCGCTTTAAGCAGGACCGAAAGTTAGGGATGCTCGTGAGCTACTACATCAACAGTTAAATATTTGGGCATCCCTCATCACCTTTGTTCTCTTATCTTGGTAGAAACAGAGAGTTCGCAGTATAGAATTCAGTTGCACTTTCGTTTTCGCCATCACTTTCAGTCTCACTTTCATTCGTTATAGTTTGGTCAAATTGCTTGTCGGGTACACGCAACTTCACGGGTGTTGTATTGGTACTAGGAAGTATTGTTTTGGATGCAAGCCTCCGGACAACTCACCCCCACCAAAACACGGAACAAGCGACAACTCATCGAGGACATCGTTTGGGAAGGCGCAGTGTTCGGTGCCATTGAAGGAGCAGAAAGCTGATACGGATTCTGGTGTCCTCGACAGTTTCAAGTTGGATTGGTCGGAAGATGCATTCTTGTTCGTCGGTACCATTGAAGGAGCAGAAAGCTGATTCAGATACTGTTGCCCTTGATGGTTGGCTTGATCTGGATATTGATGTCCTTGACGGTTGATTTGGTTCGAATATGCATCGTTCAGTGCCATTGGATGGTTTGGTGCACCACACTAGGGCGTTGGACTGAAAACTCGTTGGCACTGGACCACGATGGGGCGGATTTCCCCACTTGCATTTTTTGATGCGGATATCGGTTTTCTTCTAGCAGTGGCACGTTGACTGCTCTGCCAGCATTTTTGCATCGACTCTTTTGAAAACATTGTGAACGCCAGAGTCGTTCCGCCTCATGGTCGATGCCCGGCCAATACATTCGATTGCATTCTGTTCCCCGTCCTCCTCGTGACCAATCAATCTGGTGGCAATTTCCATCTGGTATATTCCTATTCATTGTTTTCCTACTGTTGTGTCAATAGCTTCTCTCCGTTATTACTTTTGTCGCATGTGAGTTGTTATCTCGCAGTCGGAATACAAAACAAAAATTTGTGCAACGAGTTGTCCAACCTATACTCTTGGTCCAACAAAAAATGTGGTACACCACCACCCACGGTACTGGTATGGTACCTGGTACCGGTAGTACAGTACCGGTAGGTACCAGTACCTGCTGGTAATTGGTTGTACATGTCTCAAAGTGTCTCGACTGCCTCGACTAAAAATGCGAATTGACCGTTCGTCATATATAGAAACCGTTCGAATCATCATCCTTGCTTGATCCAGGCTTCTGATGAAAAGATATCGCGATTTGGAAGAATCGTGGTGAGTGAACATTTGTTCGGACTTGTGCAGGAAGAAAACTGTCTATATTACAACATAGGATATTGAATCCTTCTAAGACAAAGATTTGAAAGATGAGCGGAATTGCTTTTGTACCGCTTCAAATTCTTCTTGTATTTATTGATATCTTGGTACGTCTCAGTGAATGAACGGCTTCACTTGGAATGTAATGTCTAGTCACTCATAGAATGCGCGTCGTGTAGCTGTCAATTGTAACCCTCAAATGGGTAGGTGTGATCAGGAAGCTTCTTGCTAGCGATCCGGTTAGATCTGTCCCCTTGAAGGATGACCCTTCCCATCGAGTGCACGCAGATTTTAAGGAAGCTCGTGTTTCTGTTCCCTCCAATGGAGCTCGTACCATGTACGACGTTGCCAACAAGGCGTTCTTGGATCACTCCGACAAAATCTGCATGAGACAGCGCGAATTCCTCGGCTGGAAAAGTCCAAAAGTCAAGGAGTTTTCCAGCAAGGTCCTTGAGTGGACATTTGCCGATGTTGAAAAGAAGGCTCATAGCTTTGGAGCAGCTTTGAGAGCAAATGGATGCGTGCCATCTGAACCAAGCACCAACCTTGACAAGGTCAAGAAACCGTGCCGTATGGCTATCTTCGAAAATACTTGTCCAGAGTGGATGATGTCTTGTGTTGGTGCTTTTTCTCAGAGCGTTGGAGTTGTCACTGTCTACGCCACATTGGGCATTGATAGCGTCATTGAAGCAGTGGTTGATAACATTGTTCCTGTCATAGTCTGTAACAAGACAAATGTCAATTTTTTGGCCGAAAATGCGGCTCGGATGCCCTCATTGAAGGCAATTGTTTACACCAACGACTTGATTCCAAAGGACGACGAGACGGAGATTCTAGAGGCACCTCGGGGTCTGAAGATTTTTAGTTTTGAAGATTTTATCAGGACAGGAGATGTAGTTCAGTACCCCGTGTCTCCTCCCGTTCCTGAAACGACTGCGGTAGTAATGGTGCGTCTCGTTTTTGGTTGAAGATCAATCTCATTTGGTTTGTTTGAATGGTGAATCTAATACGAATTTTCTCAGTATACCTCGGGAAGTACAGGCAAACCAAAGGGCGTTGTCATCACTCATGCCAGCGTTACTGGAGGTGCGGCCGCCTCGGAATTTGCGCTTGGTCTCACGCCTTCCCATCGCTACCTTGGATACCTTCCTCTAGCACACATCATGGAACTCATGGTTGAATTTGTTTGCCTTGGAAATGGAACTTCGATTAACTATGCTGACCCTAAGAGTCTTACCCAAACTGGATCCTACCCTATTGGAGCCCTTGAACAATATGGCCCAACACATATGGTTGCTGTTCCTAAAATTTGGGATACCATCAAGAAGGGGCTTCTTGCCAAAGTTGGGCAATCCAGCCCTGTTGCTCAAGTCTTGGTCCACACCGCTATCCAATGGCGTACTTTTGCCATCAAGTTAGGACTAGACACACCATTGTTCAATGCTCTTGTTTTCAAGAAGTTCAAGAAGGCTGTTGGTGGACACCTCGAATGGGCACTTTCCGGGGGAGGTCCGCTTAACGGAGAAGTTCAAGAATTTATTCGCGTTGCCTTCAATGTTCCGTTGATCCAGGGATATGTACGTGTTGTTATTTTGTTGTTTTACCATGTCCTATTTTCTATAAATTCGTATCTCATAAATCTCCATCTCGCAGGGTTTGACTGAAACCTGTGCTGGACTGTCCATTGCCGATACGGACGATGGGCGCCCAGGAGTTGCAGGTGTGCCCATTGCAACTGTTGAAGTCAAGCTTGAGTCTACCCCCGATGTCTGTGACAGGGGCGGGCTACCATACATGTCTACTGATCGGAAAGATGTGGAGGGAAACCCTGTGTGGGGACGTGGGGAGATTCTTGTCAAGGGATCGAATGTGACTTCTGGTTACTATATGATGGCAGACAAAACAAAAGAAGTTTTCTCTGATGACGGGTGGTTCGCAACAGGTGATATTGGACAATTTCTCAGCGACGGGAGCATTCGAATTGTTGATCGGAAGAAGAACTTAGTGAAGCTCAAATCTGGAGAATATGTTGCTCTCGAGAAAATGGAGATGGTATACGGAAACTCGTCATTTGTTGACGCCATCGCAGGAGGCATTTGTTGCTATGCCGATGGGGACATGGACCGCCCAGTTGCCCTGTTCCAACTTTCGGAGCCTGTCACCATGAAGTGGGCAAAGGAAAATGGTGTTTCTGGCGACTTTGAAACTGTCAAGAATTCAAAGGACTTGTACAATGCAATTATGGCGTCTTTCATTGGAGAACATGCAAAAAGCGACTTGAGTCATATTGAGAAGCTCAAGGCTGCCACAATACTAACAGATCCCTGGACTCCCGAGAATGGATGCTTGACTGCTGCCAACAAACTTCAGCGTCGCGTAGTCATCGATTCATTCCCCAAGGAATTTGAAACCGTGAAGAAGAAGGGCATCTTTTAGATTTATTAGCTCCAGAATTACCTCTCTGCAAGCTACATTTCGTATGCAGGGTATTCATATTAAGTAGTACTGGGGTATGTACATGGTGTACTCCCACTGTTAGCACAAGTACGTATGTAGGTACATTATCACAAATTTCGTTCTGGTCTGTCACCAGGCTTTCCGACTGCGTTCGTAACAAGCTGACACTCTTCCTTTTTGTTCCTGTCGCTGCCTGTACTACAACGCATGAACCTTGTCTTTGTATGGTAGTTATCATTTTGCCTTCCTTCCAAAAGTGGTTGCCAGTTTGATCAGCAGGTGGAGGTTGTCGATATTCATGCAGTGGTACCTACGAGTCCCTAGGTACAGTAATCCCTGCATTCGAAAAACGCCTACTGTACAGACGCACCATGGGTGCCTGGCATCTTGGTCCTGGTACCTTAACTAGTACTGCAGGTATTGGTATTTCATATTCAATATCAATACAGTAGGTACCTTATTATATTCATATTGTATATTCGAGCATTTTCCCCAGCTCGTACCAGAATGTCGAAACACGCCGTAGAATTCCACGTTTCTGGTAGTCCATGTCAAAAATCAAACCTAACCTACTCTTGTTGGAAGAACCCAAATTTTGGTGCATGCACGGTGCGCTTTTTTTTAGGGATTCTGAACCCTGCAAGACGGGGTAATTGTCGTAAATAGGGGCAGGGGGGCAGACGGGAGTCACCGTCTCAAGCGGGTTGCGGGCCCATCCTCAAACGAACAAAAAAAATAACTGTCATCGTCACCGGCAGGGAATGAAAAAAGCTCGACCAAATTTTGCACACGATTCAAAACGGCTGCAAGGGCCAGGCATGCTCGTCGCCGAGTGAATCTAAATCATGTGGGAATCTAGAATCCACGAATGTAAATTTCTATTTCAGAACCATGATGAAATAGAATTTCTATTTCATCAAATTTTATTTCAGCATTCGGAAGTTGGAGCCAAAATGCTTGATCAGGGGATCGAAAAAACTGGGGGACAAATTCTAAGTTCAGACCCATAATATAAAAGTAAATTCAAAATGGACGTTGCCTAATATTTTTCGCAAGCTTTTAATTTTTTAAATAGAAGGAAGCAAGGCACTCCAGTAACGAAAGTTGGGTTGCTAAGTAAGCATCAGTGAATCTTTTTTCATTAGTTTCCTTGCAGGTGCTACTGATTCGTGATGGAGAGTGAAGGCAGGCAGTGTAGGAGCCCAAGGTGGAAGAAGGCTTCTTCGGAAAGTTCAATTCTCATCGTTGACAAAGAAGAGATAGGTTGTGTTTGGGGTAGACTTGGGGGAGCGTTTCAGAATCGGAAGCTGCGTTTCAGACTCGTAAGCTGGTTTCAGAATGGATGATGAAATAGAAGTCTATTCCAGGAGCGGCCTGTAACTGGACCTAGACGCGCCGAGTCAGCTTTTTGGGGGTGTCATTCGGACAAAATGAGGGGAGTAGTATAGTCTTCAATTGTTTACCCAAGTTAGGCTGACTGGCGCGTCTTTCTTTTCAAAACTACTCGGCGTGCGTGCCCTTTTGATCTGCTTCCGAACCGTTGAACCTTCGTCCAAATGGACGAAAATAGTCGAACCTTCGTCGAGTCCGACTATTCTCGTCGGAGTCCGACTATTCTTCGTCGAAATGGACGAAATGGATGAACTGGACGAAACTGATTTCAGAGCTCGCAAGAATCTTGCATGACGAAAAATTCAAATTTGAATTATCCGGCTGGTAGTGGCAAGCTAGGATGACATGCAAAAACGGCAAAAAACGGTACACTAGAAAACAAGAAACGGTAACTAAATAAAAATGGCAGGTTCTATCTCTCCACAGCAATATGCCAAAGTTGCCAGAGATGTTTACAGACATGTTGCATACTTTCAGAAATTCAAACGTCAACAACGAATTATACTAACTTAGATGAGTGATAGATTTAGGATTCATCCGATCAAGAGGTTTGAAAAATAATCTGCCCTATTCCTATTGCGACCATGTTTCGTCAGGTCCGACGAAGTTTCGTCAGGACCGACGAAGTTTCGTCGAGTTCGACGAAGTTTCGTTGGGTCCGACGAAGTTTCGTCGGTCCGACGAAGTGTCCGACGAAGTTCATCCATTTCAACGGAACGACCACGAATGAAATGAATCTTTAGGCAGGCTCGTTTTCAGCGAAGCCCAAGCTCTGCATTGCGCAGAATCTGTCACCGGCACGTCAGTTTCCGTCATCCTTGCCAGGGAATCTATGACATATCTGAGGACATTCCCAGCAAGTCTGCCATTTCAGGCCGCTCCAGAACAATGATGAAATAGAAATTCTATTCCAGAATCGGAACCTAATGTGGCAACAATGGTTTCACTCGTGGACTCGACTGGCGATCATTCATCCGTTGTTCATAGCCAGATGTACAGGCGGGTGTTTTTACGCGAGGTCTATTTTAGAAAATATTATCGCTAGAATTTAACGGCTGGAGAAGCAGTCCAAGCAGGAAAAGACAGGAGTTCCGCTGTCATCTATGATCCCGTCTGCCTGCATGTCACCTATATCCGAAAATTACCCCGTCTTGCTGACTTTTGTGACTATCTCAGATCATGTATGGTATGATGTACACGTACCGGTACCAGTACCGGAGTTGATTTTTAGTGATTTGACTAACTCTCATTGGTTAAAATTACACCTGGCCCATGACGTAGAAATGTCAATCCGCGCCAGTCATTCCATTCGTCTATCGCCAGCAAGTCACGGTCAGAAATGGAAAACATCCGTTGAACTGATTCACCCGCGCGGGTAGCGGGTACAAAAATTATGAGAAATCATTCTACTCGAATCCGCTCTTAAATTTAAGCGCGGATTGTCAATCCGCGCTTACTTTAGTAGCGAATTGGCAATCCGCGCTAAATCTAGTAGCGCATTGGCAATCCGCGCTTGGTTTAGTAGCGCATTGGCAATCCGCGCTTAAATTCGAGCGCGGATTGCCAATTCGCATATAAATGGAAAAAGGCATTGTCAATCCGCGCCTAAATAAATGTTGATTGTTTTCTGTTCGCGCTTTTCATAAAAAAATCCTTTCGCAACTTGTCAGTTCAAAGTTTACTTAGAGAAGCACAAAGATCTTGTGGAACCTTGCAACCAAGGACTTTCAATCTCGTCAGCAGATATAGGCACCTTTGCGGCCGTAAACCTCAATGTTCTTGTCAAGGAGCTTAGCAGTAAAAGTAGGCAGTACTAGTGTTTTACTACATTCTTAATCTATGATTCTTCCCCTATGTTCCTTCCCCTTGGCTTTGAAAGTATTTTGCTATTCTAATCTCCTGGTGGTGGTCGTAGTCCCTGACGACATTCAAAGGAAACTCCTCGCAATACTGTTTTCGCGAACGCCATAGATCTCGTTTTCCTACCGGAGCCTTATCTTCTCCAGCCTCTATATAACTTGACGCAGAAGCTAATGGATATATCCGTAGTAGCTTTGAAAGGATGATACTGGATGATTGGCGACGAACTGTTTGACTCCGCTGATCTTCTCGTTCTCTTGCTTCCTCCGCGCTCTGACTGAGTCTATCAGCAAATTTCTCGAAATCAAACTTTCCAAGTTCCTATGTGAACTCGTGGCTCATGTTGCACACCTTCTTCACGATGACTTTTGTAGACAACTTTTTCCCATCGAGTGGAATGTCTCCGGTGTGAAAGAGATCCCATGTAATTTCTTTTGCTCTGCTCTTTTTCCATCCCGTCTTAGGCTTTTAGAAACCGTTCACCTTTTGAAAAGTTTTGAGCCTAGCAGCAAACTTCTTGGGATCCCACTTTTCCAATTCCTCTTTTTACACGTTGTTCATTTCGCAAATCATTTTCAAGATGACTTTTGGAGTCAACTTGTTCATTTCATCATCTACGGCGTCTGTCTCTTTCACGCGACAGATCCCCAAGGCTCAATAGTTCCTGGATGAGTGTTTTGCCATGCTGTTTTATCAGGGCGTCTCTAACACCATGATGGATAGCAAGCTTTCGGTGTTTGCTGTGTTCAATTGCATTTGGTTGTCGTAACAGCAATTTGTTTTTCAGTTCGCGCTGAAAGCGAATTTACAATCCGCGCTAAAATTTAAGCGCGGATTGGCAATCCGCGCTTAATGTAGTAGCACATTGGCGATCCGCGCTTAATGTAGTAGCGCATTGGCAATCCGCGCTTAATGTAGTAGCGCATCGGCAATCCGCGCCTAAATGTAAGCGCGGATTGCCAATCCGCGCTTAAATGTTTGTGTGTTCGCGGGTAGACCGATCATTGCGGGTGGCACAATCATTGAATCTACTACGACCCGTTTGAATTGTAAGAAGCTGCGCCAGCTCGGAGAGGAATGTGCACCGCACGCGCGCTTTCACGTTTTCTGCGTGATGGGCCTGTGGGACTACCGCCCGATTGCCCTGGGAGCCAGACGGCCGCCAGACCCCCTTTACTTGGGGGCAAGGCCCCCAACCCCCACTAATAGAAGACGACTTTAACAGAAAGATTGAGCTTTCGCGCAACATTCCGTTAACAGGGTCGACAAAACTGTACGAAGTCTGTTCGTCCTCCTGTGCTTCAAAGCAAAAATGCTTGACATCCACAACCTCTACAGTAGGTTCACTGATGCACTAATTCAATAACAACAACAACAACGGAACGAAAAGGCCGTGATGGGTTTATCGGCTGCGGAGAAGAATCGCCGAAAGCGCGGGCGCAAGAAACGAGAAAAGGAAGAGCGTCGAAAGCAGCAAGCAGCATCGGATGTATCTAGCAGCATAGCGGAAGAGGAAGAAGTGCAAGTAGAGATTGAATATGTCGCTGAGCCAATCGTTCCACTGCAAAGTGAGAAAACGAACCGTTCTTCGAATGTCCCAGATGGCCTCCCCCCTGGAATGGAGAGCGAGGGAGATTCAAGCGAGTCTGATAATATGGAATCAGTCCTCAGGAGATTTCACCAACGAGCTGCAGTTGCTTCGACTGCCATTGTGTCTGACGTAGATGAAACGAATGGTTCCCAAGAAAATTCTCGGAATTCTGGGGACAGTAGCGACTCTGACGATGGTAGAAAGCCCACTAGCAAAAGGAAGCTTCGGGAACTTATTCGTCCTTCAGTGGCCGAATTGAAAAGGCGAGTGAAGCGCCCAGATCTCGTCGAGGCACACGACGTCACCTCCGCCGACCCCGATTTTCTGCTTCAATTAAAGAGTATTCAAGGTACAGTGAGTGTTCCTCGACACTGGGGTCGGAAAAGGAAATACTTGCAAGGAAAACGTGGGTTCGAGAAACCCCCCTTTCAGTTGCCCGATTTCATTGTTAAGACTGGAATTACAGAGATTAGAGATACGGTTGCTGGAGACGAGGCCAACCAATCTGTGAAGCAGAAGAATCGTTCACGAGTGAATCCGAAAATGGGAGCCATGGATGTGGACTACAAGACGCTTTACGAAGCTTTCTTCAAGTTCCAAACAAAACCAATCAATCTAACGAAATTTGGTGATCTCTACTACGAAGGCAAAGAGTTGGAAACTTCTACTAATGTAAAGCCAGGTGGCCCCTTGAGCAAGAAGCTTCGAGAAGCGCTAAGTATGGAATCTGTTACCTCTCCTCCACCATGGCTCGTCAATATGCAGCGCTACGGCCCACCACCAAGCTATCCAAATCTTAGTATTCCAGGGCTCAATGCTCCCCTTCCCGACGAGCAATGCCAATATGGCTACCACACTGGTGGATGGGGTAAGTTTGCATTGTTACGTGGCATTGGAGGAAGTTTTGTCTCATTTGGTCATGTTACTCACTTTTCACTTGAAAAGGAAAACCCCCTGTTGATGCCTATGGGCGCCCTCTGTACGGAGGTAATCCATTTGATGCACCAGGAAGTGGAACAAAAGAAGACAGCAACAGAACAGGAATCGTCACAAGCGATGGAAAGACAATCGGAATGCCCACTTGGGGATCCCTTCCGACTGGGGACCTGGAGGATGAGAATTCGGATCTCGATGAGTCTTCTGCAGAGAGTGAATCAGATAACGAGGGCGCCACTGATATGGAAGAATCAGATGGAGAAAACGAGAATGAAGACGCTGCCGAAGGAGAAGGAATCGAGACAGTGATGCCACCTCCCCCACCTTCGGTTGCAACGATGGCGTCCGACCTCCGAAAGCTGACTTCTGGTGACGAAACCCCAGCACAGCTGTACCGAGTATTGGAGCAAAAAGCCCCAGCCATTCAGCAGGCAGGCGTTTTCCAATCGGACGTGCATTATGTCGTTCCGGGGACGAACCACGTTTCGGCAGCTTTGGAAGGGGCGACCAGCGTCCTGTCAAAAGCAATGCCTCCCAAGGACAGTGCGAAGAGGAAGCGCAATGGTGACGATGACGAGGATGGTGGGCTTGGCAAGAGTTTTAAGTTCTAGCTCTATTTGTAGATTAGGAATTTCTTGTGGCTTGAAACTCCTCAAGTTTTACGAGGCCAGCCTCTACAAATCAAGATGATAGCATGCGGAATTTCTGCAGCGAGTAGCACTGAATCAGCTTGACAATAGCAGTCGACCTCCTACAATAAAATATCGTTCGAAAGTGAAGTTATTGTTTACTATACGACTACCGGTACTGGTACCGCGTGTGACTGTGGTGAGTTGTGGTGTGAAGCTGGTGTTTTGGATTGCGCGCGAAGTCTGCGATTCTAAAGACCAGTCTCGCGGGATATCAGAGACTTGCTTGCCTACTAGGCCTTGGATACATGCATTATGCGTCTAGGCAAGGCCCAACAGGGATGTGGTGGGAGGCAGTAGGGAAAGAAAGAACCTTTTGACACAATACGTGGTCGCTGATTGGCATTGATGGTCGTCTGACCATCGTCAGAGGGATGAATGATCTTCCGTTTACAATACCAGTACCAGGTACACGCACACGTACACGTACACGTACACGTGTACCTGTACACACGTTACATGTGATTTTATATTCGCACCGTGGTACCGGTAGGTACAGTACTGTAGGCAATAAATATAGTAGCAAACACAGTCTCGAGTTGTTTACATCGAACTTTCGTGAGAAGCACTATCACTAGTAGTCA